GACGAGAGCATCCAAAGGCTGAAAGCGCGATAAGAGCGCTCGAGCTGAGCCGTCGCTGCTGCTGCCGCCGCCGCCGCCGCCGCCGCCGACAGCGCCGCCCGACGATGCAGCCCGAGGCGGTGCCGACAGATCAATATGTGAGCGCGCGCCCGCCGCCCGCCATCCCACTACTGCCTCTATCTCGCCACTTCTGCCGCGCGCCTCGGACGATGCACTTCTCCGCGGCTCAATTTTTCAGCCGACTAATGAGACCGACCACCGGCTGATACAATGACGACCCGCCGAGTCGAGTTTGCGCTCGAGCTTCGCGTTCTCGCTCTCACTCGCGAATAAGAGGGCAAATTCCTCCTGTGCTGCCACAGATTTCTCAATGGATTGTTATTAAGCTCCGACTTCGTTTGTAGCTTCTTCTCCGTTGCGGGAGGGGCTGTTCCTTTTATTAATTTCCGGAGGATAAGGGAGAGCGAAAGATCATTAGTTTTCCCGGAGAAGAACTCGGTAACCGCGCGCGCACGGCAGCGTTATCAAGGCGATTTCTTGCTCTCGCTCCGCGGGCGCTTTTTCTCTCTGGCGATGAAATCGTTGCGAGAATTGTCGGCTGATGCTGCTGCGCGCGCTACGCGATTCTCTCGCAAAAACTGATCCGCCACGCGCATTCTCGCGAAATATCTATCGAGGCAACGATGAAAAATCCCGCTCGAGTCGTTGCTTGGCTTCTAAAAAACCGCGAACGGCCCTTGCGCTTCAATCATCTCGGGAGAGAGAGAGAGAGAGAGAGAGAGAGCCGTTCTCCTAACGACGTACATGTAACGCTCGACCTTCGCGAGCAATCGAGGAAAAAGAGAGCGGAGATCACTTTTTGTCTCGCGGCGCCAGATTTTTCTTGCGAATTCTGCATTTCTCGCCTCTCTCGTTCAGGCACGACTATACAGCATGTCCAATTTAATTGATCGGGCAGGAGATGCATTATAGCCTCTGTCGCTAGCTGCGCCTCGTCTAATTTGCCGCTGCAGCCGCTACATTAGCCGACACGTGCTTTTACGCGCGGTATTGCGTTTTAGGGCGGAAAGAGCTCGCCGCTATTTTTAGATTCGCTTGTCGCGATCGTGCGGCTCTCTCTTTCATTATTTCGTCTCTTTTTCGAAATTTCACCGCGGCCAACTCGTCAAGCCCATTTGGAGCTTCGATTGAATCGATCCGAGCCGAAGTGGGAATCTCGGCAAAATCGCCGAGTTCGAACAATTATTGTTACACCCCCCGCCCCGAGTATTCGTACATACATAGTTTTATAAACTATCGAGTAAAGTTACGCCAGCGAACTTTGAAAATCGATACGGGCGGCTAGTTATTTATCAATTCCGCGAGAAGAGAGCAGCTTGCAGATGTATCTCGTGGAAATGAGTGGCAATACGAGGTACGGCGGCGAACGCGGCAACCCAGTTAAACTTACGTACAACGCGTCACCGCCAGGGAACTCATAAGCGTGCGCGCACGAAATGGAAAATTCGCATTGTAATATCACGGCCAGGCGCATTTATCGTTCACATCAAAATATTTTGCAGCGTGTGCCATTGCCAGGCAACTCGTTGGTCAAACTTTCAAGCTCTTATCGATAGGAGCGCGCTCAGAAAAATATTCCTGCTTGTGTCAATCGTCATTATGTGTCATTAAATCGCTGTTGTGAAAACGAAACATCTCGACAAATACTTGGCGATTATGTGACACACCGGCGTAAATTAAAATAGTTCACGGCGAATCCAGGTAATTCGCTAATCGCACGTGGAGGCAAACGCTTACGTGCGTCCAATCTATTTCAACAGCTTGAACGCGCGAAATTAAAGCGAGGCATTTTACAGTTTGATTCTACGAACATCTCGCGTTTTCGAAATTGGCACGCAGCTTTTTGAAACGCCGGAAAGTATCGCCGCGCTCCGCTCGCTTTGCCGTCAAACCTGACTGGACAAAAACAAAATGACGAATCAAGCTGACTTTCGTCGAAATTGGATTCCCGTTGCAAGCTCGTCTTTCCAAGATACTCGAAAGCTGGCCACAAGAATCGAGTCTCCGTATGAAGCCAGCATCAAGAGGTGGCTTTTCAAATTCAAAAGGCAGCTCTCTCGCGCGCTATATTGACACGTGTAACGCGTCCGCAAATAACTCCCTCGTCAAAGACGATCGCGCGCGTAAAATCGAAATAGCCAAACCTCAACAAGTGCTTGGTGCGTGAATGTCACCCTCGCGCGAAATAAAACTCGAAGGGCCCATTAAATCTTTGGCAGAGGAAGCGGGTTTGCCGGTCGCTCATCGCGGGGCCTAATTGATGCTGAGGCGCGCGGCCGGCGAGGTATTATTATTTCGTCCCTCAAGATGATTTACGGAAAAGCGGCGCAGTCGCTCGTCCGGCTGATTTTAACGAGACGAGCCGTGCTTTTGAAATACGAAAGCAGCTCGACCGGCAAGTCATCTCTCGCGACCAAACGGAGCACCTTTCGCGTTCAACGGAAGGATGGATTGTACGAGGAATTTTGAGGAGACTCCGGGACATTAAACTTGCCTTACGCTCAATGACGCTCGAGCTCGCTTGCCACTCTCGGAAGACGCGCATACCAGGTGTTTTTTTCGTGCTTCTCTGTCGACGCGAGGAAGCGTCGCCGTGGAAAAAAATCTTACCCGCGCCCTCTCTCTCTCTCTCGGAAAATCAAGAACGCGGTATCTCTCTTCTAATTCAGCGCCGAGATGTGCTCGAGCTTAAATTGGATGCGCCAACGAATATAGTCATTCGCGCCGTGTCTGTCGTCTTCATTTGATGCGACTGCCCCTCTCATCCGCACATATTCCGCGACTTTAATAAAGGAAAAAGGCCTCTCGGGCGGATATTCTGGGAGACTTCCCTCGGCGTGCTTTTGACGAGCGAGCAATGTACTCGGCGCTCTAATGAGAAAAAGCTGCAAAAACTTTGGAAGTAAAATGGCGAATGGCGCGCGCGCTCGTTCTTTCGAGCGTCAACCAGGGCACATCGAGGCTGGAAACGAGACTCGCGGAACGAGCACGTAACGTAGCTACCCGGCATCGGAAAAAGCACTGCCATGGCCGTAAACACGGCATTAGCAGCTCACGGCTCTTTTACGAGGCTGCCGTCGCTGCTTCCACCGGTCTCGATTCGGCCGAGAGCGAAAACCCCGCGGAATAATGTTTTTCGCGCTGCACCGCGGTCGCAGAACGACATCTGAGGGCGAACGCCAGCAACTTTGTACTGCCGAGAGAGAGAGAGAGAGTGAGAGAGAAAAGCGAATCGATTTTTTTTGCTTACCCGTTGATATCGACGGCAGCGTGCTCCGAGCTCTGCCCTTTTGGCTGCCTCTGATAAGGGTTTTATTTATTTAGTTGGGAAAAAAATTGTGAAAAGTCTCGAAGGAGAGAGGCAACGTTTGGTTTCGCGCGATAAGGATACTCTATCAAATTGTCAGTTACGCCGTCAAGGTGCATACTTTCGCTACATAAAAGCAGCGGTTGCAGTTTTATCGGACGACGAAAAGATTTAAAATCGAAATCGGGCTTTACTGAGCATCTTTCGTATCTTTCGAGCCATTGGAAAAGGCTATTATTGCGCACAAAGGCGACGATACGATCGCAGTACACGTCGCGGTTTCGTTAAGCGTAGTACGCGATTGGAATTCGTAATAAAAAAAAGAAAAAAAAAGATTAAACTTTTAAAACTGCAAGAGCATTCCGCGTGCGCGCGCGACTCGCGTAATATTGTTTGTCCGACTCGCTAAATACGCTCTTTTTCTTCTTCTTTTTCTCCTTTTATTCCCATCCGCTTTTGTTGTAATAATATAAGCGCGAGTGTACGTGAAGGCAGAGGACAAAAGCACGAGTGATTCACGAAAAAAGGCTTACAATTACAAATAAGACGCACTCGATCGGCAAATAAACGCAAGAAAGCCACTTTTCCAGTCGAAGAAACAACAAACAACTTCGCGGTGAAGAGAAAAATAATGGAAATATCAGAATTCAGCATTGCACAGATGTAATATACTTATACCACGTGTCAAAAGATTGACATCCACGTCTGTCTGCGTGTGTGTATGTGTACGGGCTATTTTCAAAAATCCGTGACTGTCGCAACGAAAAAAGAACTACACGTTGAACTTTTCTTATCGCAGTATCACACAAAACAAAGTCATAAAACTTGGCGAATGCTCTTCGACTGTTCTTCAATATTTTTTTTTATTCGAAACGTGGTTAAAAAAGAGTGATAGATAGAGAGAGAGAGAGAGAGTTCGTACCCGCAAATTCTGATCGATAAAAGACGAGAGAGAACAACACAGAAATCGTTGCCTGTGTTTCTTTTATTAACACACACATGCGGAACAACATATGATCGAAAAGTTATGAAATGATTGAAATTGACGCGTTACCGGATCGTTTTTGTTTCCTTCCACGCCGTGCACACAAACTTTGAGTGTTTGGCGAGGTAATAACGATTCTTTTTACGCATGTATATAGACGTACAAATAAGTACATGCCGTATCTTGTAATTGATTGACAGGACGTACGAACTAACGTCAGCTTTTTGTTTCCTTTCAAGAGAATGTCTTTGTGAAACGCTTGTTGCTTTGATAAGCGTTCAAAGTTGCTTGTTAGCTTTTAAGAAATAATTTTCTACTTGAAAGAACTTATGAATTGATAACATATCGATCATTGCTTATCTACGACAACCAAACTGATGTCTTAACTTATAAAGTGTTCGATTGAAACGTTTGATATCTTCACTTTATTGAGCATCTTATTTAAATTTAAGATCACTCTCCTTGATTTAACACTTCCTTCTTTTCCACTATAATCAATTTGCAATTACATGAGTGAAAATTGAATTCTAATGCCAATTACAAAAACTTCTATGAGAGTCTGTTTTCACATACCACCACGTTCGATCTTTTTCTTTTCAATGGAAATATACAAGTGCATTTTCAGAAAGATGTGAATAAACTACTCACAAGACTCTCTTTAAGAAAGTTACGAATGATTATTCCAGTCATGGTGACACCGCCTCGCCGGCAAAGGACCGAAGCTGGCACGGCAATGTCGAGTGGAAGCGTTGGCAGAGCCATCATAATTTCGTCGTCGTTGTCGTCGCTGTAAAAAATTAAAGTGAAACGGAGCGGTTTATAGCAAAAATTAAGTAATGCATCGTCAAGAGATTTAATGAATTAACTCTGACTCTCTCCTCATTCAATTTCAAACAAACACAGACTCATGTTTATGTGCGCGAAAGCTTCCAAAGAATATAAGAAAGCTTCCGAAATCACTATCAACATGCGAGAAAGAAAGAGAGAGAGATCTATGTATACGCACGTAATCTATGGTATCATGCATAGCGTATATGTATAAACAAACACTTTACTATGTATATGAGATTAATTTTTTCCCCATTACAGTTGATAATATATAAACACACACCTATCTAAATAAAAAGCAGCATCACTTTGTACATAATTCAGTTAGGCGAGGCATCGTCGTCGTCGATGATTTCTCTTCTTATCTTTCACTCGCTTACTCTCTCTCTCTCTCTCTCTCTCTCTCTCTCTCTTTCTTTTTCTCTTATCCGTTGTTTGCAGACGAAGCGATGACGACGACGAACGAAGCTTGGCGGTTAATGACCCAGATATAACAATGAGGAGAAATCTTTCTCTCTTATTGCTGCTGATTATTGCTCTTTGATCGTTGTACTCGGCCCTTTATTGTGTACGCTTATCAAGTTGACATAACCTCCAATTAGTTCGCCAGTCACTACACAGATTTGTTATACACTATAAGTTCATTAACTCACTACACTTGAGCTACTATTTCTTAGCACATTTTGTTGTCCCATATCTTCTTTGAGTTTTAGAGTTAAAGTTGCTTATTTGTGTACACTATGGGTAAACACTGTAACTTTGGATTGGAGAACTCTGCTTTTGAATGCGCAGACACCGACAATGATAGAACCGGATAGATCAAATGAAAAAGCCATGGCGTGGGGACTGTGCCCGTCGGCGTCACACACACTACCCGCGAATACGCACCTGCGCTCTTACTCGTTTACTCTTCTCTTCGGCATGGCGAACTCACTCGCGGCAGAGAAGCAGCCGACAAAAAAAAACTAATTATAAACAAAGCAATATGGTGGCAGCTCGTTTGAACAAACAAAAAAATGAAAGCTACACCAATGATGTAGTATATTATTTGCGTACGCGTGTTCGACAATTTATATTCGCCAACGACGAGAGAAAAAAAGAAGATCACCTTGACCTGGTTTTTAGCGTGCTCTGCACTTACCACGCGATAAAGTTTATTCGTTAGTATATTTGTTAGAGAAATAAATTGGAAAAGGATACCTACAAGAATCTTCTGTACAATAATTTTTTATATTTCATTTAAATTTGTTTTTTTACAGGAGTTTTTTCAATAACAGTAACGCGTTTAATTTTATTTATCTTATGTCAATAAAGCGCTTAGTATAAAACTTCCTGTATATTTTTGTTACATGGCAGATTATACAGGACTCATTCAGTCTCCAGAAACTAGTTACACTTTGCTACAAGTAAAATCTTGTGTATAAGTGTGTTACACCATGCACTCAAAATTGGGAAATTTATTTTCTTGCCAGTGAAAAAAAAAATAAAATCATCTTTATCACATGACTTTAAGAATAAGAAAAAATATATGTGAGATTTGACTACCCAGTATATCAACTCTATCTTTCAATGTACAAATCAAGTTATATAACATATCTATGTATGACACTCAATAAGTCACTTATTCAAGCGTGGTACTAATAAATCAAGTAAACTAGCTATCAGTGTTTAAGTGGCTCCCAATTTTTTTGAGAGAACATGAGATTCATTGTCTTTTCTATGTTTATCATTATTTAACTCAATAATTTATCACAGGGTTGTAGAGAATATCCATGCAAATAAATTATTTTATAACACTTCCTAATCAGACATGTATGCTATCTTGACTTCTATTGCTATTATATATCAGATCCAATTACACTAATTTGATATTGGAAGATTAAATGCTTAATCATGAATTAACAATAAAAAATAAAATTTAATTTTTTTGATTTCAATAGCATGTCAATTACAGTAATCAGTCACACTTTTTACACTTGCACTCTTGAATATGGCTTGATTTGTACCAAATGTTTGATTAAATTGAAATAGTCAATTTATAAGAGGTCTTAATTGATGACTGTTCGAATGACTTGCCAATAAGATAATCTTTTTAGAATGAATTGGCAATATGAATGCAATCCAATTTTCACAAATTAGCGTTTTCTTTTCATTAATATCCATCAACACATACTTTATCTACCACTTGACTTGTGAGCATTTTGGCTTAATCTCAAAAGCTCTCATCTACTGTTAAATTTACAGAGGAATTTCTACTGTCAGGAGACTGCATTGCTAAGTAACGCCTTCTCAAGATCTCTTGCAAATCATTGCATGGACTATTTTCGCGCTTAATTCGCAACGGGCCGCCGTTCGGTGATCTAAAATACCGCATTATTTGTAATTTTCAATAACCCAATTAATGAATAATTGTAGTCGATTAATTTTGAGCTTAACAGTTTTGTATTTAATACATACTTTGCTATTGGTCTCAACTTGACTTTGTCTATGTCTTTTAGCATATCGCCCATAGACTTTTGAGTATTTAGAGGTGGTTTTTTGCGTTCATCGTTTATGTGCTCTTGTAAGCTCGCTCTACGTGCAATGTGAGGTGTCGTCGGTGGTGGCAGTGGCGGTGGTGGAGGCGGCGGTCGAAGAGTATCGTTTCCATTTGCCAAACATGGCTCTGAAATCAATATTGCATATTAGTATGAAAAAACAAATTGTTTTCTACATAGGAGAATTTTTACGTGAGGCACTTTGTTTTCCTGGTTTAACAATTGTTGATATTTGTTCCCTCAAATCTTGTAATTCTTGCTCTAAAGCAAGTAAACGTATTTCCGAGCCAAAACTTATTGGTTCTAGCAGATCTGGCTTACTTTGAGAAAGTCCATTGCTGAAAAATTGAAATTCTATTTTAATTGCTTGCAAATAAATTGTTTGATGTCAAGGTACATTGCAACTAGACAGGCCCATTTTCAGATATATGAGTATGTGTTTGTATATTCTGTAAATATTTTTATCAAGCGTATGAAAATGTTAGTGTTCTATGGAAAATTATGAATGAATTGCATATTGTTTCTCATAACAATAAAACATACCAGTGATAAAAACGTTTAATTTATAATTATTCTAAGTGTGCTATACAACATTAAAAATTATAATTTGCTTAACTTTAACAATGCAATTTTCCTTATCTCACTTATTGATGCATGTCTTAGAGGAAAAAATTCATTTCTTATATATTATAAACTTGATATATTCATTTTTAAAAATTATGTAATACTGCATCATGTTACCTGCCAACTGTTAAACTGTTGCTTCCACGAAAATCAGAACTTGTTTCTTCATCAATCATAGAATTGGTCATTGAATGCAGTGGTGTAACACTGACATACACCTTCGGTGGAGGTCTTAGTGGTAAAAAGGATCCAATTTTTCGAACAATACTCCTTCGCTTTCCGTAATATACTATTGGCTCACCCATTTCTAAAAACAAAATAAATAGTTGTAGTTTAAATAAACTCAAAACAAGCAATGCTTGTATTGTATAACATACCGCCACTACAGCTTTAATTAGTGGTAATCAAGAAGAGTGTGTCAATTCTCGACAGATCGTATTGAACAAATAAAACTAGGCCACGCAAACGAAAGCGTCACAATGATAATTAGTCAGATATATTAATGCACATCTTCAAGATAGAAAGGACTAGTTACGAATAATTTTTCAACAAAAATTCAGCTATTTAACAAAATTCAATTACGCAGAATGCGCGCACTACGAACCTATCTACTATATTATACTACAAGTCCTACGATACGATGCAACACCTCCACGTTCTCGAAGGCAATCCTTTGTTATTAAGCGATTTTTATCAACTTTCACGGTTGTCTCATTGGAAATATTTTAAATCTCATGTTGACAATTAAATGATACCTTCGCGAAAGATGTCTTTAGCATTTATTCGAAATCTTGGTTACGTACACGCACGTACGAAGAGTACCTTATCTTATAGACATATACAGAGCATAGACTAAATAATGCTATACCTTTGTACACTACCGCGCATGCGGACTGCAGTCATGAGAAATGTGTGCATCGCTGTCGCTGCCATCACTGGCGTGCTTCGCGCGCACTAACCTACATTTTTGTTTTCCATATTCAAATTGATAAAATTAAACACGATCAATAATTATTGATTGATTGTTTAATTGATGTTATGAAATATTTTGATAGTGAAAGATATTTTACGTTAATATTAATAGAATATTAATAAAATCAATTAAAAACATTTAATAATCGTGAATATAGCTATATCTTTATAAATATAATTTTTGTCACTTGTAATTTCTCTTCGAACACCAAGATAAATAATTAGGGGATCCGAAGATCGAATCTGAGACATGGCTATATAAGGCTGTTCATGATTAAAAACATTCTTCCGTAGATCTATACTAATTTTGTGAAAAGTTTGACGTTGCATTTTATTTATTGTAATCGCAAAAATTAATTTAACTGGAAACTATCTCTGTTTGAAAGTGAAAGGAAATATACGTCTCCATATAAAATAAAATTATACGAAAGAGATGCGCCATCTCCACTTTTTAAAAGCGAACAATACCGGTGGCTTTCTTACAATTTTCAGGACTTTTGTTAGAAATTACAGTCAATGCAAAGGGATATCTTCTAAATTTCTTACTTCCAGACAATAATCAGAGTAGGTGAAATAGCATTTTTCTCAAAACTTATGAATGAAAACATTAATTTTTTAAATAAAGTATAATACATATACAAGAAGATAATTTGAATTAAAAACATTTAAATGATTTTATATATTTATATTTAAACCAAAACAGAAATTAGCATGATTTTGATGAAATATTTTTAAATTAGATTAGGTTAGATTCAAATAGAAACATGCGCACTGCATAAGCCAATCAGATGGCGTTTGTCTCAGCTTTACAACATCCGGTTATGACATTTTTATAAGGGTCTGTCTCCATAGGGCCTGCCTGAGTCCGTCCGAGCCGGCCGAGATTTTTTATGGGCACGCCATCTCTATAATTTCGTATCCAATGGCGAGTTTCATAGTGAATGGCTGCGTTTACATAAACGAGCCCGATCGGACGCAGCCAATACGAGAAACGCATGAACACGAAATTATAGAGATGGCGTGCCCATAAAAAATCTCGGCCGGCTCGGACGGACTCAGGCAGGCCCTATGGAGACAGACCCTAAGGGGAAACGCAAGTGAACATTGTTGCGGATCAGGAAAAGGACAATCTTGAAATATATTTAAATTAATAAAACTTACGTAAATAAAATTATAATTTTTACAGCTAAAAAGCTTCATCGACATATTTTAATGTAGATTTATATAGAATAATATGTTCGAGGGGTTAAAATAAAATGTCCGAGTATTTATTCCAGCATAAATGAGGGAAATTTCGATATCGAACGAAGCGATTCTCGATTTCAAATTCCTAAGTGAAGACTTCTGCTATGATTCGTGACCATATTCGTATGAGTATGGTAGTCATATGATCGACTCCTGACTCCGATCGGTTTCTGTGAAAGACAGAGCTGTGTGCAACTGGGCGAGTCTCTTTCTGACAGATCCGCGACTTCTCCACTAAGGTAGCTACGTATCTAGTACAATGAAAGGGTGTTTGTTCAATATTGATGGTGGCTATTTGGAAGGCCTTTGCCGTGGATTTAAGTGCGGTATCCTGCAGCAAAGTGATTATCTCAATCTCGTTCAATGCGAGACTCTTGAGGGTATGATTTTTAATTTCAAATGTGTGTTTGGCTGAGAGCTAATCATAATTCTTTGTATTTTGATTATTAGATTTGAAGCTTCATCTGGCTGGAACTGACTATGGCAGTTTTTTGGCTAATGAGCCATCACCTCTGTCAGTTAGCACTATCGATGACAAGTTGAGAGAAAAACTTGTCGTTGAGTTTCAACATATGCGCAACCATTCGGTTGAGCCACTCTCTCAATTTTTAGATTTCATTACATACAGTTATATGATTGACAATATCATACTTCTCATTACTGGAACATTGCATCAACGTCCCATTTCAGAGTTAATCCCAAAGTGCCATCCACTTGGTAGCTTTGAGCAAATGGAAGCTATCCATGTTGCTGCTACACCTGCTGAATTGTATAATGCTGTTTTGGTTGATACACCTCTTGGTAATTATTGAAAAATGTTTTCTGCAAGAAACGAATTTAATGAAGTGAATATTAATTTTTGCATTTGATCTTAGCCCCCTTCTTTGTTGATTGTATTTCCGAGCAAGATTTGGATGAAATGAATATTGAAATCATTAGGAATACTCTGTATAAAGCCTATTTGGAAGCTTTTTACAAGTTTTGTAAAGAAATTGGTGGAACTACTGCTGATACTATGTGCGAAATTTTGGCAGTAAGTATTTCCACTAAAATTTAAAAATTGTAAAAGTTGAATATTAAGTAGTCTTCATTCTCTATAGTTTGAAGCTGATAGACGAGCGATCATCATTACAATCAATTCATTCGGTACTGAGTTAGGAAAAGATGATAGGGCAAAGCTCTATCCTCGTTGTGGTCGTCTTAATCCTGATGGTTTGGCTGCTCTAGCCCGGGCTGATGACTATGAACAAGTTAAAACTGTTGCTGAGTATTATGCAGTAAGATACTTTCGATGTTTGCGCTGAATAGAAATCTTTATTCAATTTTTATCTAATATTTATACTGCATTTTTTAATTAATTCATAGGAGTATGCTGCCTTGTTTGATGGAGCTGGAAATAATCCAGGAGATAAGACTCTGGAGGACAAATTTTTCGAACGAGAGGTAAGTTTGAGTTATTACATAATCTTATATTAACACCAAAGATTAGTATTCTATTTAACATCAATTTTTAAATTCAGGTTCGTTTAAATGTTAATGCCTTCCTCCAACAATTCCATTATGGAGTTTTCTACAGTTATCTGAAGTTAAAAGAACAAGAGTGCCGTAACATCGTATGGATAGCTGAATGTGTAGCTCAAAAACATCGCGCTAAAATCGACAATTACATACCAATATTCTAAATTTTAATCTTGTTGAGTTTACTTTGCTGTAATTTGAAATCACATGAACATATGTAAAGGCTCATAATATTATTGACAACTACCAACAAAATATTTTTGTGGAGTTTAGTTATTCTAAATTGTTACCATCAATCAACAGAATCATTGAAAAGCAGAAGTAAACATGTAAATAGTTTTATTTTCAATGTCAAATGTATCACGAGAAGTATTATCTATCTTTTAATTGTTAATATGTTATGTACATGGTATAAATTACAAAAATGTACTATTATTTTATTCAGTAAATCGTTAATTGCATTCCACGTCATTGTCATGGTGATGAAAATTGAATGTACATTTCTGTAGCCTCCAATGTAAAATTATATAAAATACATTATTGTGCATATTCAAAAAATGCTTTATTTTCTCAACATGTCTTATGATAAAGATACAAAAATATTATCAATAGATTCAACAATTGACACTATATGCTACAAATAAATAAAACCAGACTCATATGAGTACTATTAAAAAATCGTTTACATATATTCTTCATGCATAAATTAGTTTTTGTCTTTTCATATTTTGAGGATTATTTTCTTGTCTACCAAATTAGGTTGTTTAAAAATGTAGATTAGAAACTTTTTAATTACTCAAAAACTAGTATGTTTAAGGTCACTATAATTATAAATGTAATTTGTTAAAACAAAATAAACCTTGTTAAAGAATTTAAAAAAAATTATATTTTAATAATAACTAATGTAAATTTTAGATATAATTTTGTATCTATAGAATTTTTACTGAAGCAACAGTCAGGATTTTTTATCAGTGACTTTCAATTTTTCATTTTGTATCTAGAGATGAATCAAAGGTAGTCATTATCAAGAATGACAACCTCTCTATATATAAATAATTAAATAAAATAATTTACGTTGTAAGTTTAATAAGTGATGTAATAAAATGAATATAACCATAAATGCAGCAAATATACTGATTTTCTCATTTATAAGTAGAAAATTGTAAAACTAAAATCTCACAAGCTTACGAAAGGACTGAATTTTCACTCATTACAATATGTAACTGCTCTGTTTAAAAATATAGAGCAGAAGGTAATATTAACTGAATACTAGTCAATGATTTAGGTATAAGTAGGTTTATATAAATAACTATTTGTGGCCACTAATATCTCCATTTCTATTTAGTTCACGATTGGCATCTTGATGATTAGATTCGATCGTTTTTTTTGGAAGTGCAGAATTGATCATTGTATGAGGTGGTATGATATTAGTAGGAAGCATAGGCCTCATTGACATTGGTGGAATAACAGCATTCACTGCTGTAGGATTGAAACCACCAGGAACAAGAGGTGCTTTCAAAGGTGGCTGATAAGTTCCTAAACTTTTCATACCAATCACTTCAGGGTTCTCCTTCCAGAAACGATCTGCAATAATGTCGTCCGTTAGAGGCACTACTGTAGGTTTCAAACGACCCATTTCGTTTGGCACTAGTTTTCTTATAAGAGTGGTTCCCTTCCTAAACAATGCAGGTTCATTGTTATAGTTAATTTTGAACTCTTGGAATAGAAGCTCGTTTTTATGTGCAGCTAGAGTGCCACTCAATTTCTCTTCGGCCTAAGAAAAATAACCATAAGATAAGGAATCTATTTAAAATATAATTCTTGTTTACATAATAACTTTCTTACCTCCTGCCGTTTCATGTTCTTTTTGAGGACTAAATTCCAAAAACATGTATTATACAGGTTATTGATATGAAGATCAGCCTGTCTCCAAGCTAAATAGTCTCTGAGATTCTTATCAGTAGGATACAGCACTACTCTAGCATCAAAGGCTGGTGGGTACTGCAATGGTTTCTTAAAGAAGCATGGCCAGTAGTACACGTATGAAGAGGAGAACAACGAGTTCACATTGGACATGAGCTTTGATGCTGCATAATTATTTTAAAATTCAACTACACATCTCAAAAAATTCGAAAAAAAAACGTGAAAAAATGCATACCCCTACGATTGAACAACGTGGTGTCTTTACGAAAGACAAATGAGTACTCGTCGCTTTGCCCAAAGCCGATGATGATTTCGCGGAACTCTTCCATGACAGTAATAGCAGCTCGATTCATAAGTTCGAGTGCACCAGGATCGTTAGGCTTGGCGAAATCATGTTTCTCGGTGAACGCCGAGAAATTACGACCGTCTATCCTAACCACAATCCAACAGTTAGGTAGACATTTATCGTCCAGCTCAAACTCTTTCACGTAGTCGAATTTACTCTTAGCCATCGTAGCGGTTGTACCGATACACTTACTACTTATCACGAAACCATTACGGATCTGAAGAAACTTTCCTAGGATCCTCATTCAACTATACAAGATCGATTAACTGTTTTCCTCACTACTTAGGCGGCAATCAGAGAGACTACCGGCGTGGTAGAGACTGGAGAAAAAAAATCAACCGAACCTGTTAACACTGTGTAGTGTCTGTGTGTTCAAGCAGGCATATAATGTATATATATATATATAGTATAGTCACGCATTTGTTGCCCACATGGCTGATTGATGCTGCATATACATATGTATAGTGTTCATGCCATGAAGCACACTTTTGCCAGACTAGACGCAAACGCACATGTGCTGACTTCGAATTTATAGTTTTTAGTGTGGTTCTCATGATTGCAAAACGTGTTGTGGAGAAAAGCAATTTTCATCGGCTAAAAAGCTTGCTTAGTACATTAGGATGAAAATATGGTGAGAATAATAATTTTTACAACGAAATAACCAAAATTTTTTATATAATTTTTACAATAAATAAATTTTTAATAATGTTTGCAGAATAATTGTTAACAATAATTCTTCAAAATGGAATTGCATGAACGTTTTATGAAATTTGCTGGAGCAGAATCTTCAATATTTAATATTATAGGAAATTCTCCAGTACTCCAGCAATCCATTCACTCTGTTATTGGCGAGTATTTAGAAAATTGTTTTGGAAAACTGAAAGCTAATGATATATGTCAAAAAGATTTAGAGTTTTTAAGATTATTTCTTTGTCAGCTGTATAAATTTTATTATGAACATGCCAAGAATGACTGTATAAAGCTTAGCATTGAATTTAATCAACTTGTAGATTTTTTTAAAAATGGTGACATCTGTAAAGATAAAGGAAATCAGTCTATTTTATGTGATGTTATGGTACTGTATATGATACTTTTGGTTGATCATAGGAATTTGGTATACATTCTTGAAGATTTTCAAAATAATTATACAAAAACTCAAGATAGAAATAAATGGTCTACAAACATATATTTAAAATTATTAAATTGTTTCTTATCTAGTTGGGAAATTCTTAACTTTTTATATCAAGAAAAGGATCTTGGAGTAACAAATGAGACTCATTTAAAATCTTACAAAAAAGTATTACTATCTTCAATTTTGTGTGATGTTCCAACTTTAGTAAAATGTAATGAACATGCTGATTTGCAGTTAGTTTTGTCAAAAATCATTTCTCTTTCACAAAGCACTAAAATTTTAAGTTTATACATAGATGAAATGTTAGAAAAAAATGTTGCTTTAGGCACTTTGTGTGCTATAAGTAATTTTATATTTTCCATAAATTCACTGAACAGTAATCTTGATTATTGTTTAATATACAACAGCAATTTATTAAAAATTATACAAAATAATTTGTATATCGAGTGTCCTCAAAAGCGCAAAGAAGCACGTTTTCTCCTTAACAAATTGATTGATTTTATTGATTCAAACGAAGAAACTCTAAGAGGAAAGAATTTAGAAAGTTATGTACAGTCAATTTCATATGCTATAAATCCATTCATATGTGATAAAACTAAATCTAGTTATTTGCCCATTAAACAAGTGAGAACAAACTTTATTTTAGTACTGGAAGCATTAGAAGAAAAACAGAAGCACTTAGTTGCTCCATGTTTACCTTTAGTTGAAACTTTGATAAACGCTGTTTCAGAACATAGATCTTGTGGTAACTGTTTTGATATCAGTTGGCTCTACTGTGTATTTACAAGAATTTTGAAGCATTATAACAGTGCAATAGTCAAATGGGGTTTGTTGAAAATTATAAAATTGCCTATTGCTTATAGCAGCGACTCTTTTCTCTTGTTAATTATAACTACTCTTAATAATACATTTCTATATGAAAAAACTTGTAATCAAAATAATTTAAATATTTCAAGTGCACTAACTACATGGTTTATAGATTTACAAAATAACATAAATTCACAACTAATAGAAAAATTTTTATATCATTCAAGTAGTGTACAGTGGAGCCCAGTACCAATTTTTTATGTACTTCAATCACTGTTTTATGCTTCGCTTGAATTCAATAATATTTTACAATGGGAAGAAGAGTCTATGCATACTATCAAACTTTTAGTCAGTCAGAATATCATTTTACATCCTCCAATGTTACGTTCAATGTCTCACGTGCAATTAATTCAAATATTGTGTAATACAAGTAAAATAAATGATATGAAAAATCTCATAAACTTTATAACTGTTTTTCCTGAAGAAGATTTAAAAGAGTCTGCCTGTGTGATTTCTTTGAAATTATGTTTAGCAAAGATTGAATACAGTGAAGTAGTAAAATTTGTAAAAAGTATTTGTGATGGTATCAAAACTCACGATCATCAAGTAATAATTTCCATGTCAATTTTTTCTCTTGTGATTCAATTATTGTATGAAGGTGAAATCATATGTCAAACGAATAAACAATGTAGTGTTACACAAGAATTGAAAGCTCTGCTCTTATGTTTGGATAAAATTGATGTTAGGCCTTACATCAAATTATCTTTGATTACTAAAATAATTGCTTTTATCAATGGTTTCTTTAGTTGGGGGTATGAGCCACCTCATTGTGTCAAAATAACTTTTGATTGTTACAAGGCAACAGTATTCAAATTCATTTTAAAGCTATTCCATAATGAAATTTTAGAGTACCAAGACATAGAAATTTATGATAAAACCCTTAGAGATATTTTTAATATATCTAATATGAGTGCATATAGTCAAGAGTTGGAAATGAAATGCATACAAGTTCTTTGTAATGCTGCTGAGCATAGCTCAGCTCAAATATTATTTGCCTTGAGATCGTGGAGCAACATTTCTCACAATTATAAATATGATGACAAAATATTTCTGCAGAAGATGAAGGATATATTAGCAGTTGGTAAATCTCAGCAGCATTGCAGTGAAATAACAGGGATAGCAGGATCAGATTTCTACACAAGCATTAGTAAACTCGTAAAAAATCATTTATCAACGCTAAACTCGGGCGATTTGAAAGTAAACAATGATTGGCTTGATATTTCATCTTTTATTTTGGATGCAGCAGGCAATCAAGTTCTGATTTACTTGAGTGATGTCGTAAAAACATACAGTACTGTCTTTTTAGAAAATACTAATAAATTAGAAGAATTCAAGTTGTTGATAAAAAGTTTTTGGAATTGTATTTTTGGAAACAAAAGAGAAAAGATTTTTTGGCTAGTAACACAAAAATTAACAGAATGCATTAATAGAATAGAATTTCTTCAGAATCAGTCTCTTTATGACGTATCGAAAGAGGTACGATAACTTAATTAATACGTTATAAATATTTTGTTCTAACAAATATATCATAAAAAGTATTTTATTTGCAGTTTAGTGATCGGATGTTGAAAGAAGGAGAATCACTATCGAGTCTCAAGTACATTTTGCTAACTTGTAGTGACTTAACCCGAAACTTCAATCATTTCACAGAAGTGTTATTGAATGGTCTACTTCACGGTCAAGTGCTGAGGCGAGATCAGAGAATTCACATGCAGGCGTGTATGACAGGGAAGGAGATCTTAAGTCATTACGAATTGAAAGATGATAAGTTTGAAAATTTCAAAGCTCACGAGTTTCTCAATAGGTAAATACTTATCTGATCAAATTCGCCTTTAAACTACTTTTATACTACTTACGGCTAACTATTTTCTGATATGCCTACTTCAAAGAACAGTTTGCTTAAGTAGATAAAATCCGTAATGGTCAGGTGTAGTCAACAATCAATTTATGTCAAATTCTAAAATTATTATTTAAATGTTTAGGCAATGCAATGTAGATGTAGCAGTTCGTGCTGCAGCTGTAATACAACTCTGTAAAGCTCTCGACGATAACAAAGAAAATGCTAATGTTCTGTTGCCGTTTATCTTGCAAAAGTTGTCATCCATTCAAAGCAAGCGATATTTTGCCGATTCACAATTGCACCGGCTTAAGCATCGAATTATGCAGACTTTATTGATACTTCAGCCTCATTTAAACAAAGTAGTTCGAACGAATTAATCGTATATTTGAGAAAATTTTTTTTATAATGTTGTTTTCTTTTTGCAGAAATCGACGGGAATTCTATATCACATGTTACTCGATTCAATAATACGAGATACTGATCAGCATAGTGTACGTTTGATGAGGGAATGGTTACTCATAAGGATATATTTGTCAAATGTCGAATTGTTTCCTGATTTATGGCTATTTTTCGATAAGGTATATAATATTTAAGTTATTCATTTGAACTTTTTCAATTCTACATTATTATTCAGATCTGCGACGAGCGACCAAACAGTGTAAGTTCTTTGATCGGTATAGTCTGGCACATAGCGCGACAATTGTCTAACGAAAGTTTCGAGAAATTTATTTGTACAGCACTGCCAAAATTGAGTATTTGTTGTATGGGGCAACAGTTCGGCATGCGTTTATTTGGTCAAGTGAGTTTTGAAAAATTTATGATTTTATATTATTGATAATGGAACATTGTTGTTGCAGGTATTTTTTATTAAAATTTATGAATTGCTAGATAAAGATAGTAACATTAGAAAGGAGCATGTCAATTTATATAATGCAACTCTCACAAGTATGAGTTGGGGTAATTTAAAAAAAAGTCCTATTAAAAAAGACGAAGATTTTTTTTATACAGTTTTCAATCCAGAGTTGCATTACAGTTTGGAAGTATGAATTTGACTTTGGAAAATGAAATATCAAAATAATGTAAATTAACACTTTTTTTTATCACAGACGATTTATCATCAACTTCCGCGGCTATTTAACGTAAGCTTTGAAGAATTCATAACAAGAGAAGATTTTCAGCAACAAATATTTTTAACAAAGTCTATAATTAAGATAAGGGTTGATAACTGTGATAACTTTTTGGATAATGCTGTTATTCCTTATTTCATTTTAAAATCTAGTACGTATATATTACCCTAAAATACATGTATAAACGAGATAAGAAATATTAAATAAAGCAAATATACAGGTGAGAATTCAAAGCCAGAAGAAATTGAGTCTTCTAATATTATCTTTAATGATGTCCAAAAAAAAATTACACCTTGGAGAATGATGTTACCAAATGAAGATGAGGTTGATCAAAATTCATTCAGTTTACTATCTAAAATTAAGCATACAAAAGATATTATAGTAGTGGCATCTTTAGTTGATAAGCCTCAAAATTTAGGTGGAATAGCAAGGACTTGTGAAATATTTGGAGTAAGAGAGCTTGTTATTTCTAATCTTAAACAAATTGAAGATAAGGAATTTCAAGCTTTGAGTGTATCTGCAGATAAATGGATTAAAATAACTGAGGTTCATAGCATTTGTAAAAACATATAAAAATAGCATAAATCTAGTTTAATTTAACTTTTTGTCCACAGGCCAAAGCATATATACTTCCAACATACTTAATGGAATTGAAAAATAATGGATGGACATTAGTTGGAGCTGAACAAACCGCTAACAGTGTGAATTTAATAGATTATAGTTTTGCAAAGCAAACCATACTTGTTCTAGGGTAAGTTGAAATATTTTGAATATCTTAATTTAAAACTAAAAAAATATTAAACAACATTTGTATTTTAGAAATGAAAAAAATGGGATTCCCGCCAATATTATACCATTACTTGATGTATGTGTAGAAATACCTCAGTATGGCATAATAAGATCTTTGAATGTACATGTTACAAGTGCGATTTGCATCTGGGAATACAACAAACAGCACCAAGTAGATTCTTGAATCTTTGTAAAAATTTTTCTAATAAAAAGAAAAGTTAAATTTTATATACTTTGTGTTTATTTTTCAATTCAACTTTTTGAAATAATAAATTTGTTTTTTTTTATTCTCATTTCATGGAGAATTATTGAAGAATTATATATTTTTTTGATCCATGAAAGAGTATCTATTACATACACATATTATCATCTAATACGAATTTAACGGATTTAGACAGAATAACCAACTAGGTGTCGTTTGCCAATGCATTCACCTATAAAGAACCAGCACCAAACTTCAATGGCCACCAGTGTATTTAACCAAGCCTCCTTGACTGTAAGATTTTTGTATGCTCCACTTTTGGCACTGTGGATTAGTTTATTAATTCCATTACGAATAGCAGGTATATCTTTTGGTGTTGGTGGAACCAATTCTACCATAGCATATCTCTGAATGATGCGTGCCTGTGGTGTTGCTGCTTTGATGCCATCTAAAAAAGAAAAATATATTTTTCAATAAAGAAAAATATCATACAAAAAATATTTCACTTTTATTCTAAAAAAAATTAAGAACTTCCACAATAAAGCCTATTAGGTTTCTCATGACTTCCACAATTAATTAACTATTATAATTAGTTGATATAAACAAAGAATACTTGAGTAAATCAGTAAATTAATAATGTAGTTGAATCCTGAAATATCATTAATATTGTGAAGTTTTCTTAACATCTAAGAGTTTGAAGCAACCACGAAATTCACAGTAGAGGGAACGACAACTATAACCTTAAATTTGATAATGATTTTTTAAAGTTTAAACTCAAAACGAAGAAGTAGTAGAAACTGATTTTGTTCTTAATTACGATATTAACAGTAGTAACTTTACGCATAGTTTAAAACAAGTGTTAAAGTAATAAATCAATATAATTCATAAATTGTTACATAAGAATATTTATCGACGGAATTCACGTCACTTCTGAAATATATTCCATAACGTGATAAATATATTTATGAAGTTCAAAATATCAGAAAAATACTAACTTTGCACAAGGCCAAGCATAGAGCCAACAAGTTTTGACATTTTATCGCTTTTTGAAGTATCGCAGTTCACTAAAGGTTCTGCTCATGGATTGTATATGGTTCTGCTCTTCCGAAGAAAGTATGGCGGCGAACAGTCCAATTTTTCGTATTCCCCAAAACACGATCACGAATTTCATAGTTCCGTTCTATGTATACTTAATTGAAATTTAAAAAACAAAATTTATTCAGCATCTAACAATAAAAATCAGAGCATCTAACGTAAAATAAAAGTTTTAGAAATAAAGAAAATATTTGAATATGTTGAAGAGATAGATTAAGCTAAATATTTATAAGAAATCGTGAAATTTTAAGATTTTAAGGATTATTATATATGTAAAAATTTCGTGGAGATTATAAGCATATAGAGATTTATTCATCTTCATGTAATAAATGAGTACGCAGTGTATTTTACATTGTAAAAAAGGAAATACATATGTTATTTTGCATAATGAATAAATTGATTTCTCCAGTCTCTTGAAAATAAAATTATAAAATTTGTAACATTCAATTTATAACATGACTAATCCCATGATTTCCTTCTTAATTCAGATTCAAGTATAGACCAATTTGGGGAATTTTTCTCTGTGGACAACCAGTTGAAATCATCAATGCAATTCCAATTATTGATTTTAGGATCCAAACCAGCTAATTTAAAATGATTTACTTGATCTTCATACGTCCAGTTGTAAGGTGCTACATGAATTTTGGTACAGTCTTCTATGATCGATCTACTTGTTACATGTAAATATATTATACAATTGGTAGAAGAATGCAATCTCAGCTGTTGACAAGCAAAAGCAAACTCACAGTCACTACAATCATCCACAAACACAGATGTTGTAACTGGTCCAATTAAAACTTTACACTGCACAAGTCTGACCATGTGTAGAGTATTTGGTGTCCCATATATTTTAACTGTACACTTGGTTAAATCAGAAAGCAACACGTCATTTTTATTAACATTTTCAGCATCTAACACTAATATTTCATCCACTTTGCCTATTAACATGCACGTATTATCGCCATATTTGTTAAAAATCTTACTCATCTGCTTTCCCACACCATTTTTTGTATTGCTTTCAGCAATTTTCAAATCCTTCAAACCATCTGTCACATCACCAGGTGTGTCGGATGACTTCTTGATGACTCTTCTGTTCTTAAATCCAAATTTTTTCCTTGGAATAAGTTTAGCTTCCAACTGGGCAGCATCATTTTCCAAAATTTGCAGAGTTTCTTGAGCTTTTCTAATATCATAGACTTTAAGGAATATTTTTGATTCAAATAAATAATTTTTCAACATTAGTATGTCTTTGTTAGCCTTATCAAATATTTCTGGTAGTGATAAAGCTGAAGCAGCTTCAGTGCTATCAATTAACTCTCTGATAGTTTTGCACGTTGAATAAAAAGCATCATTAAAGTAGCTAGCTTGCTCTGTTTCTACTATCATCTGTTGCTTTTCTTCTTTACGTTTTTCAATGACATTTTTACGCTCTCTATCTCTCTTATTTATACGCTCTGATAGACTTTCTTCGCTCGGTGTATAGGATTCCATTATATTTTCATTTCTGTGAAATGACATCACTAAGGAAACATTTGACACTAATCCTAAAGCTTAAACTACTCACATCTTTTCATTTCTCAAGAATTGTTATCTGTTTAGTTTATGAATTCTTTCTTCAAGGATCATGTTGACAATTACTGAATGAAGATAATCTGTTTTGTTAATATTAATCATAGAAAAAGACTGTATGTAAAGTGGCATTGCCATTAGACTTTATTTTCTTGTTTCCAGACTCTCAAATCTTCGTTCTCCAAGTCATAACATTTATCAAATGTTGTTCCCAAGGTATAAAATCCATTTAATATTGATGGGAAGTTGTTATGCATATAGTACCTGAAATCTGTAAAGAAAATTTAATGTAACAATTGATAATAATATGCAATGCAGGTTAGTTACTGTAAAAAGTTGCATCAGAACTCTTTTTCTTAGAAAATTTAGTCAAACCCGTTTGCTGCTCAAATAAATCACTATTGCTAAAATTTTTAAGTAAAGAAAATATTGAAAAAAAAACGATATCAATTTTCTGTGACTCTAAAATAGATCATGACTCGTTATGATGATCAAACTTTACTCAAAAACAAACGGAGCGTACCAGTAAACACTAGTTGTTTTGCCAGTTTTCCGACGTAATATTGAATAATTCACACTTGAAAAAATAAATTTTAAGGATCCACCGAATGGGCGATGGTGTGTGCAAAATGCAAGTTGGTGAGCGTATAAAAATGGTGTACTCTGATGAGCGAGAGAGAAAGAGAGGGAGTAGAGTAAAACTTAACCTCACCGAGCGATCAACTAATAGACACAGGTCTAAGTTAGCCCTTTACTTATGGGCTTGAAAAATGACTCACCGCGAGAATGATTCATACGATGCCAAACTAGATAACTGGCACCGATGGCTACAACTTCGAACACGATGATACCCTTTATAAAATTGAGAAAAGGTTTTTCTGAACGTGGTCTCTTCACCAGCATATCTATGACTGACAGTAATCTCCTAATATGGAAATCATCAATACTCCCATACACAACGCACTACACTGTATACCCAATTGCAAGGGTGTATGCTTAAATGATTTCCCACGAGGACAATTGCCGCCTGCTGCCGCTCAAGTGTGATGTCTTTTACTCGTTGACCGCAGCTTTTCAAGAACTTGCGCCAGTGGGTCCACACAGTGCGTCTACATAGAGTGTAATTATGTAAGGTCTGAGGGAGAACCTAGGGAATTAAAGACATTTTATCTGGAGTCTTGGTTGTGTACAGAGCTTTTGCAAGTTCTTTTTTGTACGAGATTTCTTTTATTTGTACGAGAACAAAACAAAGCCTGCAAACTTTTTGGAATGAAAAATATAAAATATCGCGGGCATAGTCATAAGATCACTGTTATACCGACAGTCGCCAAACTTTCACTTTCGATATATTTACCGTCGAATATTTTATGAAAATAATAATTGTGTGAATGAACACTTGTTGATATTACAGATTTTAATATCGATTTTTCAATCAAAACAGTTCAAATGTTATTTTTGCGTAGTTCATTCGGACATTCTTAAACAACATGTTTATTATGCGGCATTTATCAGTTTATAATAAGATTCCATTAAACTAAATTTTGCCAACTATCTTGTGTAATTATCCATTCATTAAACTACTATTTGCGTGTTATAACATTTTTTTTCAAATAAAACCTTTATTTTTTAATAAATATAAGATTGGTTTGAAAAAAAAAAAAATTTTAACCGTACTTTTTTTTAATAAAAACCTGCAGTTTTCAATGATTCATAGTAACACTTTCAAAGCTTCAGAGTAAATATTTAACAATCGATTTTGGATTTTGATGGTGATTTCATCAAGATTGTCGAACTTTATAATCGAACTGGGCGTTATAGTGATGAATCCGAGCACTATAACAAATGTTTAATCGATGTTCGGAACGCGTGAAATCAAATTCTCCACTAATTAGTGGTAAAAGCCGCGCTACATACCTCGCTGTATATCACAGCTACCAATTGGTAAATTACAGCATAATTGCCAACATCTTTTGGCATCAATTCGACGGCTCTTTCGCTCTAGCATGGAACATCTAATCGAGTAAGCACAATAGTTAGCTGTATTACACGCAGATATCACGAATTAACAGTAAATGAAGCAATTTATGCATATAAGATAATGCAAACGATATTTTGCAATACCTCGTCACCAATGCGGTTTTCACTTGGTTCCTACAACTTAATGTGTTCTATTATGCAAAGAGATGAATTTGTCAAAGCTGAAACCAGTAAATTAACGTGCGAGTGCTAACTGTTATGACAGGCACGTCGCTTTGGAAATATTACTTTAGCGTCAAACGTTGAGAAATGGCTTTCTTTGTCGACTTTTATTGCGCGTTCTTTTTTTCTTAAACGTAAATACTTGGATACAAAATGACTGTGCAAAATGGTCAATGAAACAATTGTATCAAATCGTTTGTTAATGATCTATTAGAAAAGTTGACGAAACAAAAGAAGAAGAAAGATGCCCTCGGTCCGTGTAAGTTGCTGTTCCAGCAACCAAAATAAATAAGAGCCAATGGATTCTCTCGGAATTTCATACGATCCTCCCGCAACAGTATACGTCTCTAGGTTATAACTTTACTATTAGGCAATCGCGCATTCATAACGAAGCACGCGCTTATTACGTAACACGTTCACAGCGGAATCTGCTTGACGCATCCCATTTTTGTTTTGCCTTATAGGAAAACAATTTTTTTTTTGGTCTGCTCTTGTTTTATCTGTCGAATGGCAAGGTCGCATTCCCGATTTTTTCTGTATAATTTTGCGATTTATAGACGCATTTTTAACTCATTTTGGATAATTTGTATTTATCCGCTGGTATTCATAAGTTTTTTTTATTAAGAAAATGACACGAAGACCTTCAAAACTTATTATAAGTAGTGTTGTATATAGAATTTACCACACTAAATATACAAATACCACGCACGTGTAAGAATATTTCTTCTTCTTCTTTTGCTATTTTTAAATCAGTCAATGCAAATCAATAAATCATACACACACGCGCACACACCGTTGTAGGTCGAGTGTTCTCGTCTAAAAAAGTACTTTATAGAAAAAATGTTTTCTTGCAGTGGCTTTGAAAAAAAAAATCGCTCGATGAACCTTTCTTTCAATTGAGAAAATCCGAAAAAACAATTTTAATTCCAATTCGCGTGTTCTGAATGCCTTTCTCGCATGGAAGTATAAAGCCATTTGTGCACGCGCTGAAAGCGTGATATTAGAGCATCTTAACTTTTCTCAAGGATCCTTTATTCCTTTCCTTTTTTTTCGTGAAAAGTAGGAATATTACATCGAGAAACTTCGACAAGGATTTTGATTTTTTTATTCCAATAAAGACAAAGGATATTCTTCCGCCTTTTGCTCGTCCGCTTCGTTATTTATCATGCAAATTCAAAAGACGCTCGTTACGAAAGGCTCAAAATGAAATTTGTAGCAGTTTTTGCTAGAAGCTACAATCTCTCTCTCATCTTTTATATAAATTTCAGTCCTCTCGAGAGATGACTATATTTATGTAACGCAGCGCATAATTGATAGAAGATGGCTTGTCAGATTACTTAAAAAAAGAAAGAAAGAAAGAAAGAAAAACGTAAGAGTCCGGGAGACGATAAATTTTTATAGGACGCTTTCGCAATTGAGGCGTGACAATCAGGAAAGAAGTTTCTAATAAAAATTTCTCTGCAACAGTTAATGAACTTGATGTAGATAAAAAAAAAACAGGAGAAAAGTAAAAGTAAATTGAAAACTAGCCGTCTATACGTAATAAACAGTTAATAAAATTAATTGACTTCTCTCTTGAACTAGCGATAAGCGCTTAAGCTATTTCGTGCAACTGTTCGTCGAATGAAATTAAAATGCAACAAATACAAAATCGAGGGCAATGCAATTCTGCGGACAAAATAAATCCAAATGCCATTTTATTAAAAGCGTTGGCGTTGCAGCTGAAAGGTTGGGAAAAAGCACACACTGGAGAGATTGGTTTTTTTTTGAGAAAGAAATAGCTGCTTTTATTTGAACAATACCATAACCGTGGTGAGGCGATGCAAAAGAAAGCGTCCATCCGCGCGCCAATCGCACAGCTGCCAGGCAGGCAAATAAACATCTCGCTGAGTTTCACATCAGAAATGAAATTTACTCTTTGTTCTGTTCGGGGTGAGCGAGATTGTATTCAATGGCTTTGACGATGGCTTTGGGTACAGGTGGAGCGACTGGGAGATGGGCACCCTGGGGTTGAAAACCATTCTCGTCGGCGACGTAAGTTAGCTGGATGGGAGTGCCATCGGGAGCGGTGTACGCGAATTGACCTTGAGCGGCGACAGCTGGGCTCTCCTCGCCCTGGATGCGGGGCTCGCCTTGTTCGCTCGCCGAAATCCCATTTTCAGTTTCGAAAGTCCACTGGTAGTGACCGTCTGCCTGGACGTCAGTTGACTGACGGACAATTGCAATCGGAGCTTGCTCGGTGGCCGAAGCTACAGCCGCAAGGGCGAAGAGAGCGATCTGTAAAACCGATATTTTGACACTGCAATTCCTTTGCCTTTTTTCCCTATCACTTATTTAACCTTTCGTCCAGACTTACGAGGAATGTCATGTTGCTGCTCGTATAGTTTTTGTCTAACTGATGACGCTTTTAAAGATGTAGCTGCGTTTTTATATAGCCTGTGGCACTATCACCTGCATATAAGCAGGTACAACTTACTTTTATGCTTCTTTTACGCCTGCAGCATGCGCCTATTACGAGATTAAATTCGATAGTAGTTGCGTTTCAATTTTGAAACGTATATGTTGTTTATATTATTAGGGATCATCAGAAGCGCATCTAAAAATTAAAATAGACGGGTATCGATCTGTCTAAGATTTCAATCAAATTGATTCGATCAAGAAATTTGAATTTCAAATCGAGTGACGATTATTTCCTTGCAACCCACTCTTATTTCAGATTTATCATTTTGCCATTCATATTATTGTTCAACTTATTTAATATTCATATAAAGGGCTGGCAAGCTCGTATAAGTGATTTAAAATAAAATAAAAGTTAGTTGGTAGCAAATTTATTTAATTGTATTATAAACTTGAGTATACTGAAAGACATTATTTAGCCTTTGACCTACTAATTAACGCTTTCGTTTTCGCCGATTTTCGGTTAATGGTAAAGTAAACTATAAACGCAAGAGTGACGAATGTTACGGAATCTCTGAATGAATATTAATTTTATTAGGATAAAGAAAAAAAAAATACAGGCTGTCAAGTACATTTAACATCATCGGTTACTACGAGATGCCCATAAAACTTTGACGTTCGTTGTAAAATCAGCAGCTTCGGAGCCGTCCTATATGGAAGTTCAGAAACAACGAAAACTAGAAATTTCCTACAATAAAAACTTGATAAATTTCACATCTAATTTTCGTAGAATTTAATTTTGAAATGCAGTATCTTTTATTTATTTAATTAGCGCTTGTTTAATCAACATTCAAGATCAAGCAGAATTGCGAAAACTTAATTCTTTCATAATATATTGTCACAACGCACATTTAAATTCAACGGAGCTTCAGTATAGTTTATTTAGGAGAAAGTAAAGTTGCGGCCTTTTCGGCTTTGTAATCATCGCCGTTTCTATATGTACTCTATGCAAAGGTGAGCTAAGGAAAAAATCTTTGAAAAAATTTTTTTTACAGCTAGCAGATATCATCAATTATCATGGACAAATTTTACTATCGATTTATTGTATTGCGTTGCGATCGCTAATTAGTGAATTTATTGCGAGAAATAACTATATTAATAGTAATTTTAATTTTTTTATTTTTCTACAAAAATATTTATATGACATATGTGTATTTCTCAGTGCATCGATCGATGAAATAATAAAACCCAATATTAAAAAAAACTACTTACGTCTCTACAGCTTTATCGAATTGCTATTATTATTCGCAAAATCTAATCTTATCTCAACGAAAAAACAATCATCTTAAACATTGCAGACATCTTGCACAGCATGGGAAAAGAGAAGAAAAAGCGAAATATTCGAATGCAGCTCGGTGTATAACCAATGGCGATCGGAGCTTATGGCGACACGATCGTTCGTATAGTTCATAACTCGAACGCAATGTAGCGTGCAAAGGGAATCAGGCGCATCTGCAATTCGGTAGCGCGCGGCGTGGAGCCATGGCCCGAATGTGGCTCAATGGGCCGCGACGAAACTTATGCTCTCTGCGTTGTGTACTATAGCCGCCAATGCAAGATTCATGAAGAAGTACGCTCAATGAGAGGTAGATGCAAGTATTCCCCAAGGCGCTTTTTTTCCGTCGTTTCGGACGTTATACAACAGACCGACTATAACATATCGATGAAAGGTCTTGACAGAATTTCGGGGACTCATGCGCGTCGGGGCGGGGACCTAACTAGACAAGAAACTCGTTCTCAAAATATCTTTACGTCATTATATCCGCGAAAGTGGGATTTTCGGTATAAATTCATTCGCGAGCGACGATCAAATCACAATCTTCTCGGTGATCATCTCCTAGTGATTTGCTTGTTGTCCAACGAAAACACAATCCAAAAAACGCCAAAATGAAATACTTCGTAAGTCTACTTGATCTCTTTACTCTTTCAATTTCAATACTCATACTTTCAATCAGCACTTCAATTTTTTATTTATCTTTCTTTCCTTGACTAATTATCTGTATCGTTATCTCACTATTATGACAACCATTTGTTAGTTAAACAAGCGAAAGAAAAAATTAGAACTCTAATTAATATCGTTATGATCTTTGGAAAGATTGCACGTTATTTTCGCTCTAACATAATCCATGAATCTTTTTTTTATTATAGATAGTTGAGTATAATAGAGCGTTAATCATTGTACGTTAGTCTTTATTCTATTTTTTAATTTTGTGAAACCGGTATATAAAAAACAATCTTGAACAATTTGCTTTCTTCTAGATTGCCGTTGTTGCCCTCGCCGCTTTGGTAGCTGCCAAGCCACAGGCTCCCCAGGAGCCCATTGCCATCCTCCGCCAAGCTGCTGACGTGGGACCCGAACAATACCAATACAGCTACGAAACCGCCAATGGAATCTCCGCAGAAGAGTTCGGTTCGCTGAAGGCTGCCCAGAACGAGGAAGGCGCTGCCATTGCCGCTCAAGGCCAATACACCTACACCGACGACCAGGGAAACAAATTCCAAGTACAGTATGTCGCTGACGAGAACGGATTCCAGCCCCAGGGTGCCCACCTCCCAGTCGCCCCACCAGTACCAGAGGCCATCGCAAGAGCTCTCGAATACATCGCAGCTCACCCACAGCCCGAGAAACATTAAGATGTGAAACGTCTTGTGATATACATGAAGCTCCCCGTTCTAAATTGATGTTACCTGTGATGAGATTTTCTGTGAAAATTTCCAGGCTTCATTCGTCTCAAATTAAATCTTGCTTTTCGCTAATGATTACATTGTATTGGCTTTTTTTATATTTTTACATAAAGACTCCAAAGATATGATTTTCAAATGAAATACTGCTGTTGTTGTTTTTAATTTTTATCCTAGCTCCGCCAATCTGCACCAGTTATCAAATCAAAATATTTATTTAAATCTTTGTTAAAGAACTAATAAAAACATTTTAGAATGATTTCAAAATATAGGCTTCTAGACAATAAAAACTATTCTTCTGGTAAAAATCAAAACAATAATTTATTATATTGCAATTTTTTAAAGATTTACATTGAAATTAAAGTTAGCGTTAAAGGTAAAAATATATTTAGTTTGGTCAAGTACGTTGCACATACGTTAATAGTTGCAAGAATTTATAGTATTGCGTTAAATTTTAGAATATCTCATAAATTTCGATGCTAATCTGTAGAGTTCACTGTTTGAATTTAAAAAACATCTGTACCTGAGTAATTATATTTTATTGATGTCGCATCAATTACCTTGAGATAAGTTGTTCTCGAGATAAGTTTCACTTGAATGAATGTGGAGAATAATTATAAAATAATTTTTAATTTTTAAAATGTTATCGGCTCGACTTGAAGCGATGGACATTTTCTCGTACTTTTATTCAGTGGACAAGAATTTCTTAATAAAAGATAAGAAAACTACTTTATTTTCAGAAAACCTTCGATAAAAAGTGCACGAATAAAATTCTCAAATATGCTACATTGATTTATTAATGCACTAAACGTTTTTTAAAATCTCAAGGCTTTCTTAAACAAATTTTAACTAACAATAGAGTGGAACATCGTAGTACTTTCAAAACATCTTTTTGCTCTGTACACGTCTCCGTTTATTTCTGAGGGGTTAAAAGAATAATTTCCAAAAATTTCTTCAGTTTTGAAAAGAACAAACTTCTTTATTTTTAATTTATTTTAGTTTTATGCATTCTTGAAATTATAATTCGGAGAAACTAGTAAAAAAGTTAGTCTACTGATATAATACAGCTTTAATAAACGCAAATAAATACTGATACTCTCTGTTGGCATACCTAAATAATTGCTACTGAATTAATTAATTCATCTTATCTCGTAAAAAGAACTTCAAAATATTTGAAAACAATTTGGTTAATTACACATCACCGAACACCGAAATCTCAATGTCACATTATTATCAAGCTGTTGCTGTAGTAGTGAATGTTCAGTCATATTAGAGAAGACCAGTGGCTACATCAAAATCAAAAATTCAACTCTAGGGTCAAAGTCAAAGGTTCAACGTATTGATACAACAGTTTCAAAATGAAACGTAGAATCGTAGTCTCAGCCACCAGTGTTTACGGAAAATCTAATAATCCGAAGAGTGAGAATTTCAATATAATGCACCAGATGCTACTCTTATCAAATTTATACTCACGCCATCAATGAGAATTGGTCCGAGTTCGTGCTAGTAGTTTATTTTCCTCGGGTTATATCCTCAGTGTGCTTCCACGTATACTCCGAAACGATCCATTCACGTTTTATTAGTTGGGATATCTTCTTTTATAAAATAAATTATCACATTTTTTATACGCCACATCAATTATTAAAATAATAATCAGATTAAAATAAAAATCAAAAGATACTATTCATTAAAAACATGAGTGTTTATTTGAACTTGAAATTCTCTTTACATTACAAAAAATGTTCAAATTGCTCTTATCGATTTACAAACAAGCGCACTTGTCATGTACATTTATACATCTTAAACTACGTCGCAATCGCCATTTCAATGCGTTTTCGTGATATCTCAAAACCACTTTGATATAAAAAAAATCAAAATCCGCGTTTGCGTTTGATGAGATAAGAAGGATATAAGAAGAGAGAGAGAGAGGGAGAGAGAGAGAGAGAGCGAGAGGAAAGAACCAATAAATTTCATGTATTGCGGATTATATGAAACATTAAAGAGATTTCTATGGACTTTTGCCGTAAAATTTGAGAAAGTTGATTTTATATAACGATGTATGAGGGTTTTGGTTATGTACAGTGTACACACAAGTACATACAAGATCGGTGCGCGGAAAAAATGCCACGTTTACAATCGATCGACACGATCCAACATTTATATTTGGAAAAGCTTTCGATGTACAATTTCCAAAAATCTATGGCATTAGGTCAATTTTATTTTATAGCGCTTATTATTTTACTATAAAAACTGACTTTCTGTACAATGTATATAAGGCTATTAAAACTTGCTACTTAAAAATTAGCGTGACAGAATTATGATATTACTAATGATACAACTGAAAACGTAAAAAAATAACGTGGGGACAATTAACAATTCTTGCGATGCAATTATATATCCGAGATAGAGATCAAACCCAACCAACCACGATATATATATATATATATATATATATATATATATATATATAATGACAAACAAGATAAAACTCTTTCAACAATGCAGGCTTATTTTGCTGTTGCCGCTGTTGTTCGCGCACGAGTATGTAATACATATCAAGAATATCATCTGTATAACTTTATACAACGTCGATAAAAAACTTTCGGCTACGTATTATACAAGACAATGTCGCGTCGCTCTCTGTCCGCGTGATGTGTGCTTTTTTTTTATTTACAACATTCGTCAGCGTGTCATCAGTCATATTGCGCCAGTCGTCCACCACACGCTCAAGTGCAGAGAGAGCGATGGTTACTTTTGTTAGTTCGGCAGTGAGCAATTGAATGCAAATTGGTCCGTTTGGCGCTGCTGCTGCTACTACTACTACTACTACTACTAGAGGCAAGACGATGACTCATTGTTAAGTCTCAACGGAGGAGGTACACCCGTTGGTGCCTCCTCCAATATGGGTCAGAGGGTGGTGGTGCGCGATATTGGCGGTGGTGGTGGTGGTGGTGGCGGTGGTGGTGGCGCCGGTGATATCACCACGTCCGGCTCACCCGCGAGCTCGCAGTCTAACCTCCACATTACGCTTTCAGAATGGTCACCTCCTATTGACATTCACCAGGGACATATCAGATTTTATCGTTTTCTTTATCACATCTTTACGTGTACTAAATTTAAGGGTCTAATCCAATTTCAACAAATTTTCTTTTTTGAAAATATATTATCCTATAAATTGTTTGCCACTGTTTGGGAATTCCTTACTTTTCTGAAAGTCATTATTATTTTTAACCTATCTGTAAAATACGTTCAACACAAATTTGGACTGAAAATTAAAGATTGGCCGTTATAAAAACATTTTGACTTATGCCAAACGTTATATACTCGTATTATTAATCATGTGACGAGAAGAAGAAAATTAGCCATCAGCTGTAATCAGCTCAGTCCACATTAAACGGGTAATTTGAAGATGGCTGACTAGGCGGGTAGATACCTTGAGCCAAGGCGATGCCGGAAGAGACTCGTCTCAGTTTCGTCGACGCTGTCTGGCGTTTGTGCGAATGAGCGAGAGTGTGGAATGAGTGCGAGTGATGTCGGCAATGCATGTGATGCTGGGATCGAATGTGCGCGTTGCTGCAACTGCTGCTGTTGCTGCTGCTGTTGCTGTTGTTGCTGCTGCAGCTCGCTTGTTGTTGCTGCTGCTGTTGCTGCTGCTGCTGCTGCTGATGCTGCTGGCAAGTCTGCGGCCGATGCTAGGTAATGTTCCCGTCTACCACACCCAGCACTCCGCTCCCCAAGCTGCACTCGTCTAGTGTCACTCGCTCGTAGCTCAATGATTTCTTCATCTCCGTCATCGCCACCGCACCAACCTCCTGCTGCAAGCAGAGTTTTTCACCCCGACGCGCACACGCGGAGGCGACTTTCAGTATACTGGCTGCTCTCATTCCCCCCTCCCGGCGGATTTATACATATCGGAGGATTTCACGGGTACGTGCGGATGCTGATTGGCAGAGAGCTAAATCAAAGATTGTTTTTTTCTTGCATATGGCCTAATATTCGATCAGACTTAAAGCGGGATTTTAGTCCGACTGGTATCGAATTGATATCGGTTCGATTTTTTAAATTCGAAATTTAATACACTTGATGGGATCAGGCAGCTGAAAAAATTGCCGGTATCTAATCGACTGTCATTGCTCCGCAACAATCATAGCTTTTCTCCTGCCTCGCCAACGTTCGAGAACGATTAAACTGAAAAGGTGAAACGCGCGCGCGCGCGCGCGCTTTACTCGTCAATGATCCTCATTAATTCAATAGAATTGGCAACCTCATCGGCCTGGAAATCAGCTTGCTCAGCGCGCGCTGCAACGCCCGGCAAAAATTAACTCATATCCGAAGTGCAATTCCATTCTGCGAGATTTAGCGGTGCGCGCGACCGCGCATGCGATGATTTTTCATTCGCTCCTAGAAAATCGCGCGAGCGTTCATTAGGATATAGGTGGCGCAAGGAGAGAGCAACCGAAAACATTCAAAGAGACAGATATACTAGCGGTATGTGTGGTGTTAATTTACGAGGCTATCAAAAGCTCATCGGCAGTGAGAGAGAGAAAGAACCCATGCAATTAATTACACTACATGTACGCATGCAGAGAGAAAGAGAGACGGCGTTGAAAGCATGCGCAATCAGTCTGCCTTTGGTTATGTACACGCCACAATTTTTTTTTTTCGTCGTCGTCGTCGTCGTCGCTTTTGAAAAAGAAACTCGCTGCGAATGAATAGCCTTGGTTAATTGCTCGCCGGAAAGTTGGTCACCGCTTATGCGATGACTATCTCCGCGGTAGTAGTAGTCGCTTCCAAGGTGAGTGTGCCAATTACCATCCTATAGCTACCCTGCCCACCGGCTCATTACCTTTACTAATGTCGCTCGTGAGCTTCTCTTCCGCCCATACACACATAACGGCATAAAGGTTTTTTTGGATTGCAGTGCACCCAGAAATAAGACGTAATTGCCTTAGCTTCCCGATGCGACTCCACCCGCGATAGGAGGCGGTACTCTCCGTTTTCCGATTTCTTTTCGACGATTGTTTCCACGATGACTACTGCTTTTTTGAGAGGGTGAGTCAAGATTGTGCTCTGGTGAGTCAGGAAAGTGGGCTGCTTTCACTGTGCACTGAGTGGAGCGGAAACGCGGAGTTCGTTCTTTTGTCCTTTCGAGAAATTTACCAGCCTTATTTTTTCCTTCCATGAATCGAGGCTCATTTCGGTTGACAATGTTTCGTTAAAATTGTTCATTATAAGTTGGAAGCTCGGCTGAGCGTTAATTTACTGGATTTTTTTGTGATACACGACGTGTAACGAGCTCCGCAGATATTTAATATGTTTATTTCATTTGATTTGTAGTACAAACGGATTGAAGGTAAACATGCCCGATGGATTTCCAATATTAAAATAGCGTATTTTTTTGATGAGCGATTACCTCGAGATTAATTAATTAACTATTATTAACATTCCATAAGGGAACTGCACGAAATACAAATTCTGCGTCGAGTTCTGCTAGAATTAACATTTAAAATGTAGGTAATTAATTTGAATGTAGCAACGGCGTGTAGCATTTTACGTTTATTAGAATGAATATAATTATTCAATTCGCGAAATTATATATGAATCGGAACATTATACTGTCTTCAATTTATCATGGATTTATCATAACTCATAACAAAGTTAATAAGATCGTTACGAGAAATTCAAATTTAAAAAATTGCGAGATCCTATTCATTTACAATAAACCACTTGATATTCGTCAAACGCTCCGTCGTCAGCGAAATCGGACGTCTTCTTTAAATTTCACATTTAGCATCGCATTGCCTTATTGAAGTCAAAAACAAAAAGAATAAAAAGAGCCCTCGCTGTACATCCACTCGATATTTCGAAACCATTTGTCCCCGAAAACACGATGAATAATGCACATTGTCCTGACGCAGCCGTATCAGCCCCGGCATGAAACTCGCGGTGTACAATCAAACTTTTACGAAAGCGCCACTCGAAAGCTTAATACGCAGCACTACGCAAATAAGACTTATTTGCGTAGTAGCGGCGAAAAAAAGGGAGTTCTCTTTATGGAGGCTTTATTAAAGGAGCCGCCAAAGAAGAAGGTTAAGGAAAAAGGAGAGCTTCCGACTTTATTTCCTGGCAAAGGAGGTGCACGCGGCCGCAATAGCCGCGAGGATCTCTTCGAGAGGCTGGATTCCTTCCTCGCGCCAATAGGCCGTTCTTTTTTCTTTTTCTCGGTCCTATAGGTATAGCCGCGGCGGAAAGGAAAGGAGATAAGAGCGTGTAAGTGTGCCTACAGGTATTCTCGAGTGAGCTGTTCTAAAGGGCGTGCTTTTTGGGGAAGAAGACGCGCTGAGATTAAACTGAAAGAATATATGTACATTTCCTTTTTTTCTGGCACAAAATAATTTCACGTCGCGTGATTGCAGTTTCAATTGAACAAATCTGTTCCAATTCTTTTTTGTAAAAGCAGCTTCCCGTGAAAAAATTGATTGCAAAAACTACTGCAGCTTTTGGACTTAGCCGAATACAACAACGTGGCTTATTGATTTAATGAAGCGCAACGAACGTCATCTACTTTATCGTCATGAAAAATTCTTTATTGCCAAGCTTTATTACGCCGGTGGAAATCGGGAAATTTTTTCTCTTAAATTTTTATCGATTCTCAGGAATAATTAAAGCAGCTGTTCAAGATTTTCTTTAAAAAAAAATTAGTCGTCATAAATCGCTTTAAAATTGAACTTCTACGAAGTTCGCTCGGTTGTAGCTCAGTCGACATTGTGCATCTGAGTGGCCTAGCTAGAGAAACGTGACATGTGAAGCGTGAACGTACAATGTCTCTACGGTACACAAGCCTACGAGAGGATCGCGCTGCGGCTGGCGGTAACTGGCTAACACGAGACTTACACCATTTAGCCAAGGAATGTCGATGCTTGGCACGTAAGTGGTCTCTTCGTGCGCTGGTTGATGGTGTTGCTGTTGGTGTTGCAGCAACTCCCTGGCGCGTCGCTCACGGCTGGTCTCGCGGCGCTGCGATGGATCCCTGTACCGGACGCTTCGCCGCATCGACGAGCGCGAGCTGCAGCGGCTGCAAGCGATCGCCCCAGCCGACGAGCTCGACCCGGCGTTGCGGAGCTTGCGCTGGCGTGAGCCACACTGGATTGCGAAACGCAACTCCGAGGCCATCTCCGCGCACAACGACTTCGCACAGTAGCATCAATTATAGAAGATGCCGAGGCTCGCTAATTGGCAAGCTTTGGCAAGCTCAGCACATGGGCGTCGCTGGCCGAGCTTGCGGCTGCCGCTGCTAGGCAACTTTATCGGAGATTTTGACGAGGGTTGGGTTGGGCGCGGGAGGCTTACTTTGCCGATTCGCGAGTGTTTGGCTACGAAGTACGTGTGCGTGTGCCAAGGCCATTGGAGATCTGTTACTGACGCACGAACAAGCGGTTCGGACACTTTTTGAATTTGCCATCTTGTTGGAAGTTGCGCTACTACGAGCTGTCGCTCTACCTTGTAACTCAATGGAAAGCAATTAAACATGGGATTCAGAAGGTAACTCCATTATATTTTCCCGACAAGTCCTGAGTTGCAATCACTTTGCATTTTGGCATACGGCTTAAGTGACGGTAATTGAAAAATTGAATTATATTAAATCAAATTGATAATAAAAAAAGCGCTTAATGTCAAGCTTTTACTAGTAAATATGATGAAGCTTTAGGAGCAGAGTCATTTCAACTTAAAGTATTTTAAAATTTAATCAAAGATCGGATTTTACTTTATGGAGTAACCGATCGGATTAAAAAAATTATTCATGCGTATTGGAAAAGGAGAATACGTTAGAGATATGTAATATCAGACGTAATTTCTAATCTAGCTAAAACGACGCGATTTGTACAGACGCATTTGAAGTTCCGATGGTTATTTTAGATTCTTTTTTAATTGTGCCAGTTACCTTTCAATGATTTTAATCGCAGTACATCTAGGAATATTTAAAGAAACGTTTACCATCAAAGTGTCAATGAGAGCGCACTTCCAATAAGAAAAACGTATCGCTAAAAATGCATGCAAGGCTTAATGCAAACATCGTTTCCAGTTAGTTCAAGCGTCAATTTCCGAATGAAATGATGAAACATTGAAAGCTCGAAACCGTTGGTCGAATCCCGGCAATCTCAGCACTCTTACCATCGAAGGTACAGAGTGCATAAATTCTATTTGCGGCGTTATTCTATTTCAGTTGGAAGGTTGCAGTGTAGCAGCAGCCGCAATTCGAGATTTCCTCTCGAGTACCCGGAGAGCACATACTCATATACTCCCGCAAAGAGGAGACTACACACGCGCATACACGTACATACACGCGATGCATAGGAGAAAACCAAGATACCAGCAAATTTCATCTTTGTCCTATTCTAGAGGACCATCGCGAAACTAGCCGACCTATACATTTTCTTCTCGAGTTTCGAGGGAGAACTTCCGTCTCATCTGTTCTGGGTATTCAATGCGCATTATGTGTTTAAGGCTTTGCCCGCTCATGTGGAAAAATACGCGTCTGCGTGTGTATTCTCTGTATGTATGTGTATGTTTGGCTTTACAAATGTGATGTACATACGACAATGTATATATATATATATATATTTTTATATAAATTTAAGCATGCAATGTGTTTATATACGCATCGCACACATCACACGAGATAAACACGTCAGTACATACTTAGATTGAGCTCAGAGAATAAGATGTGTAGCTGAGTTTTGCGGAATTGCTGTACTTCGACGTTTCTGGATAAAAATTCGATATTTCTTTTTATCGATCCATCGAACTCTCATCAACTTACTTTTTTATTTTATTTTATATCAACGCGAGTAAGAATAATCAATGCTGTTGATATACTACTTCGGAAACAGTAGAAACATTGCGAATAATCAATAAATAAGCAATGCGTTTTTATTCGCCTAAAACTCGATCGCGTATTCGCAGAAAAGCTGTCTTTCTCGAAACCAATTTTCCGAAAAAAAAATAACTGTTTCGATTCGCGCGACACGCGGAGGCATCGGCAGTCAGAAGCGGCGCAGCAATTTTCGCAGACACATAGCAATACATGGCGAAATAGTAAGTTTTTTTCGTCACTTCGCGAAAAGAGAAAGACAATTCTGGAAAAATCAGCCGTCGTAGAAACGTATGTGTGAGCGTGTGTAGTGTAGTAGAGAAAGGCAGCAAAGCGAAAAACTCGGCGCGTCGAGAATAGCTGTTTGAGGATAGCTTACCCGATCCGATTGGGCGTTCTTCTTTGAGTTCCAGCAGAATTCTAGAATGGCTACCAGAATCGCCAGGGCCAGGCCGCACAGCAGTACCACGAACACTCCACCTGTGTCGGAGAGAAACACACACAGGCACACGCGCAAAAATACCATGTGAACATTTCGTCGCGAGAGCCAGCAAGTTTGACATATTGGAAATCATTCCGCTTGACGTTGTTAGATGGATAAAACAGCACATTTTTGTAATGAAATTTAAGAATACTTGTTGTTCAAAATTTAAGTTCCGCGATGGAATGGCTTTTAGAAATGATTTCAAAACGGAGAACTCCAAGCCATCTCCCTTGCGCTTCACAATTCACAAGATAACAATCGAATATTTTCTCAGGATATGAGATGACGAAGGAACTTGAACTTCCGGGGGCGACGCGTAGGAGAGAGTGAAAAAGAGAGACAGCTTCGCCTCGGCTTTTTCCATGTAATTAACAGATACGACGATGGGAGCGACAGAAAAGAAGCTTTAATTACGAAATTGCGTTGAAAAGAACGGTGGAGGGGGGGATCCGTTTTCATTCGTTAATGAAACGAAGGCAATGGGCAGAAAGGAAGAAGAAAAAAAAAAAAATTGGAAATGCGAAGACAGACGGGAAATCGTGCGCGCAATATCCAACGACGAGAGTCGCAAGTTTCTTCTTCCTCGAGGCGCTCCTCTCATTCAGCCTTCGCGTCGCTATATTTTTCTCTCCCTTCGAGCGAAAGCGACTTCTCTCTCTCTTTTTTCCTCTTCTTGTTTATTTCCATTCGTACCTTCGAGCCGTTTTCTTTAGCGAGTATTTATGAAGAGCGAGAAAGAGAGAGAGAAAGTCTACGATAAGTATCAACCGAACTCCGAGCGCTGAGGAGAAAAATCGACATTTATTTCGGTCGTCACATTTAGGCTGTCAGAGCTACGAGTGTAATACGTGGAACAATTTTTAACGACCTAACTTTTACAGATTTTTTTTTTGCTCGCATTTTATCGGTGTTCGCGCTCGATGGAATGAATCGTCTATTTTCTATCGACGTTCGTTTTCTCGAAGGGGCTAAAAACGTAACTGGCAATAGTCTTTTTCTCTGTCTCTCTTCTCTTTTTTTTCTAGAAAGTTATGTCATAGTAAATTTCAAGATACAAGGCACGTAGTACTCGCAATTCATCGTTTATCTTCGCCAAAGACTCGGTGAAATGATGGTCCCGAGAAACAAATGTGAGGCGGTGTCCTATTTTAAAACGAGGTTTTCGTAAAAAGGAAAGGAAATTAACATCCCTTTGACCTCTCCAGTCGAACACCAAGATTCTTAAAAGACAAGTAATTGAAGTTCACGAACGTGTCTTTTAAAAGAGAGTATTCGCGACACACGATCGATCGTATTCTATTGGAGGGTTACCAACTTTTTCAATTAAATCTCTCTCTCTCTCTCTCTCTCTAGCTTTCTTTTCCTACGACGTTTTGTGCTTCTGTCGTTGCTCCGAGCTGCAACACCGGAAATCGATCCGCATGCTATACGGAATACATTACGCTCTGACTATTCGTTTTCTTGAAAAAATTTTACAAGTAGATTAAAATCGCGTGGTGCCGTGCCGCACTGTCGGAATTACCTTTCTATTTTTTACTAAACTTCACTGCTCCACAGGTGTATATCTTGCGCGAGTAAATGTAGGTAGCAAAAAGTTCTATGGAAAGATTTGAATTAAGTTTTTTTGTTACGTCCTTTTTATCATACGAAATGTTAGAAATGTGGCGTTGCGTTACGAGAAAATACAAAAGAAGCCGAGTTCAAAGCAATTAATTTGCCGGGAGCTTGCGAGTTGTCCGCGAGGTATATAAATGACGCTGCCAGCTAATGAGTTTGATTTTTGAGAGCCCGTGAAATGCTCTCGTGTAAATTGCCATTCTCACGAGCAATTAGAGCACTTCGGTAGCTAGTAGAATCCAACCAAATGCGATATTTCTTTTTTTACGAGAGTTATGCCATTTGCCTACGAACCACTGCTCATTTGTCGGATATAATCGGTCCGATCCACAAAGAAGATTCCCGCTTACAAAAAAAGACACAAAAAGACCTCGTATCCGCTTCGAAACATCCGACTAAAAAACATTAACGAACGGGAAGCAAACGCCGGTCGACGAAGAAAATTCCCGCGTAACGCTAAGCCTCCCCCCCGCATTCGTTCGCGAAAGAAAAGCCGCTGCTTCTCTTCTTTCTTTTTTCCTGCCGCCGCTGAAGAAAGTGAATACGCGCGTTACTTGGGAAGAAGTTTTTTGGCGAGGTGAGGTTCGCGCTCGTTAGCCAGGGATGTGTGTGTATGGATAAACAAGTTATAATTCCACGGTAATGTCTCTCTTCTCTTCGCGTTTAATTTAAGCCGCGAGAGCCTTATAAGCGCGCATTCTTTTCTTGGTCGCAGCCGAGAGCCGCATTCCAGCGCCCTCGGCAATATCATGCGCGCCGACCGACCAAATATTTTATGCTAGAGGTCTCGTAGACTTTACCCAAAGTATTCGTGGGAAACGCGTGTGGGTTACACTGCGATGGTGAGCTTTTCTTTTTTTACAATTATCAGATACTAGTTTTATTCGAAGAAAAATGCTGCAAAACTTTTTTACGAAAGTTGACAATCTTATGCTGCGAGATGATTTTATTTTATTTATTCGGTTCTTTTATTTTGCATTTTGGGTATCCATTAAACAACGCAAATTCGAGATTCATTGTTATGCCATTATGAAAGATATCTTATTTTTGAAAGAGACGCAGAATTTACCTGATTACGCTAGCTTTGCTATTTCGATGACTGATAATTTGCGCTTTTGAGAAAAGCTTGAATATTTTACAATAGAACGCGTAAAAATATTTCACGATTGAAATTTTTCACGATTTAATCGAGTCGACAACTTTATATTTTGAACTTGAGCAGTTAATTTTTGCGCCGTGCTCAGAGCGCTATCGCTAGAGCTCGTACCCTATAACCTCACGGTGCAGCACTAACCCATTTTGAGTCAACGGTAGAGGAGCCGTGACTGTTGATTTAAGATCTGCAGTACTATAAAATTTTGTACGATACTTGCGTCTCACTTATGCTCGAGTGTTAATATTGCGTCGTGCAATAGACGGCTACTTAAATCACACGTATTATAATACACTGTTATGGTCTTTGAACCGGCGTTCATTACTGACGTAGGACGTCTAAATAGATTGAAAGTCTCGTGTGATCTGCGCATTTCCAACCGTACGCGTTGAGCAAATGTAAGTGCAAGCTCGAACAATTCGCGAAGTACGCGTAGGGAAAACTCTCGTTCCGCGCACGACATGCGCGCGGAACGAGGACGAAGAAGTAGTTCTACAAGGAAAATAAAGAGGCGCGTCTCTCTCTCGCAAGCTCGAAACTTGTTGCCAAGCCGTATACCTATACGCGTCGCCATGGTAAATCCCGGAAGTCCGTCACCCGGAGACTTGGCAAGTTCCCTGCGAGTTCTCGCCGTGCGTCTGCACATTCTTCGACATCTCATGTTTTCCTCGGTCAAAGAAAAGAAAAATAAAAGACAGCGAAGAAGGAGAGGTAAGTCGATGTAACACTCCATACTCACCGATGTTTTCGACACCGAGAGCGTTCGCCTTGCTCTCTTTGCTCTTCTCGTCTCTGTTGCACACGTCTCCAGTGTTCTTCCACCACTTATCGTAAAGAATCTGAATCACACCCTTCTCCTGCAGCTCCAGAATCGCCAGGGATATTTTATCGCGCCACGGCGAACCTGCCATCAGATTTTGTTTTTTCTTTCCGTTTCTCTCTTTATGGTTCAACGCTATCGCTTCGCGTTGGAATTGTTGGCAAACGCTTTGCGCGAGCGCGTGCGCGCGCGCGCCCACCTCATCCTCTACGGACGCTGTCGTTTATTTCAGCCTCCCGCGATTAAGTCGCGTTTGCCGGCGGACGCTCGAATCGCAGACTCGACCGTGCGCCATCGCTGGATTCGCGGAGCTAACGTTAATCATCGCCGACGAGCATATTTCGGCATATTGACAATTCCATTCGTACGGTCGCAGCGAAAACCTCACCCTTGGGCGTTGCAATGCCGTATCCTTTGCTGTCCAGTAGGCCGCCTATTTTCGTGAGATTGCAGTCCCTCTGTACCGCGTAGTCCAGCATCGTGGATTCCATCAGAAACGCGTAATTGCCCTCGAGCACCCGTTTGATGCCCTCTTCGTACGAGGACACAAACACCGACGGTTGCTTTGACTCCATGAACCTCCACATCTTTTGGTACAGCGCTATTTTCGAGTCCTGCGGACAGAGCAAACTTTTGGTCGGGCCGGACGCGCGAATCGAGCTGGGCGCGAGACTTGGAGCGCAACTTACCCTGAAAAAGGTCATGGTGCTGCCGCCCTCCAGTGTACCGTAGGGTATGTCAGTCTGATCGGCGAGATCGGCTGCGTTCTCGATCGGCGTGATCATTCGCTCGACCGTAAGAAAAGCCGCGAGGTTCGCCGTGTACGACGAGATGATGATAAGAGTGAAGAACCACCATATACCGCCGACGATTCTTGTGCTCGTCGCCTATCGCCACAGTCGGTACATTTGTACTTTGCACGAGTGCCAAAAAGAAAAAAAAAAGAAAAGCATCCGAGTCGTCACGTTGCATAAACGAGACTGTCGATTATTTACAGCGCGGCCGAAAGTTTTTCGGGGGGGGGGGGGGGGGGGGGGGTTATAGTGAAACTGAGAGCAGCTCTCGCATTAATCATTGATCGCGCCTACGTATATACGCGTCGCGACTCCCAGAGTTTTGCTGAGCATTTGTTCGACAGTTCTTTGGCACGCGAGAGCGCGCCAGACAGAGAAAATAATGCACCCGTTGCCTTAATGCTCCGCGCGTATTCTTACCGCGACACGCGCGAGAAAATATTGCGCTTTACGAGCTAGTCACCTTTCTCTTAGAGATGCCATGTTAAAAATTACTTCTCTTTGTTGTGAATAAGTTGTTGGCAACGGAGTGCCGTTTCGCGTCGTTTTGTTTTCGTAGACACGAACGTGAGGTTTTTACTTTCGGACGAATGCAACTTCAACGATGCATTTTTAGTGTTCCGTATGGAGGAAGTCAGCAAATTAGTTTTGTTTCGATTGTCAGATTGAGATTGATTATTGATAAATAGATTCGATCGCGGTAATCGAAACTGTAATTACAATCGAATCCTTTGACTACTCATATGTAATTAAACATTAACAGCAATATTTGTTATTGAATGTATCGTTGAAGAATTGAATGATTAATGCTAATGTACATTTCACGAGCCGGCATAATATCCCATTGGGAGCAATCCAGATTGAATTTCCCAAACATTATCGTCCACCGTGAAAAATAGTCACGTTCTAATAATATTACGGCAAAGGCTAATCCTAACGTCTTTTTATCGGGTTAGCGAGTAAAAGTCCTTGGTAGAGCTACTTAGCGCAAACGTTTAATCCATTATCCAAAGTTTCACAAAGCTTTTGCGGAGAAGAAAAAAAAATTGCGCAGGGCGCAAAAAAGAAAACTGCATAAGCCCGATATTCCCCATGGAGGGAGAGGAGTCGAGCGATAATCGGCTCCCTTGTCGTACGCCGAGGCAATATTCGGCGTATCAATCCTCGTTTATGCATCGCTCTGACTTGGAAGCAGGAAGATAGGATCGATAACCCTCCAGGATCGTACAGACTTATCGAGAGCAAATAAGGCGGCGAAGAAAAAAAAGAACTTGGTTTTTTTTTCCCGTTCGATTGCAACGCACCGAACCCCTCAAGGCATATGCATAGCCACACATACGTGCCAACAGTATAGTCGGCCAAGCACCACGTGTGCACACGGAGAAGCCCGGGGTAATGGAGAAGAGAAGGAAAATTTAAGTGCGGCATAACCGCGCGCGAAAAGCAGGGAATCGCCACCGTCGCCGATTTATGGCCCCGCGCCCAGACTAAACAACTTGTGCGGCGTTGCGTGCGTATATAAAGCCACTGGCCGCCGGAGTCGTTGTATTAAATCCGTTGCTGATATTCCCCCTTCTTCCTCTTTTTCTCTTTGATTTTTTTTTTGCCGCTGGAGAGGGCCAAGCTGCGAAATTTATCGAATGCTGGCGCAGGCAAGCATGCTTTTCCTAACTCTCTCTGACGTTTTCATTCTAGCGCAGCATTCCTTTCGCTCTTTTCGTTAGTTATACGCCCATCTCTTCTTCTTCTTTTTCGCTTTTTTTTGTTCTTTTTGCAATTACCACGTGCTTTACGAATAATGGCCTACGGGACTCCTCTGCTACGCAGTTCGAAGCTACGTATTAGTATACTTAATTTTTCATCTTGGCAGGCGAACATTATCCTGTTTGCGAATAGCAAGAAGCATTCCAGCATTGGTTTGTAACTCTAATTCAGTTGTAATACGTGTGTAACGCGAAGCTAAATTGCGTGTACACAAATAGTTTTCATTAAACTTGTAAAACGTGTGAAGTGCATTCCAAGGTAAATGAATCCAACGAAACGGTTAGCATATACGCAGTAGAAAGTTATTCCAACTATGTGCAAGATGATTTGGTGTGATTCGGTCGTGCACGAAATTCCGATTCCAACGTGCTTCGCCACAAACGTCAAGTTATTTGTTATTTTTAACGAGCGAAGCGCTAAGTGTGCGCTGGGTTCAATAAACTGCATGCAAGTTTAATAAACATCTCGCGCGATTGCGAGATTAGGTATTGGAGCGCTACATCCATGCAAATTGAAACGAAATCGAAAAGAAAAAAGAAAGAATGCCCTCGTGCAAAGACAGAAAGAAAAGTGCGAAAGATCCGAAGGGCCTGGGGCCGCAGCAAACATTAATCAAATAACTGTCAATAGCAGGCGAGAGAAGGCGCGGCGGCAGCTCGTCCAATCGGCATTTTCCCGCGACAGAGGGAAAACTCGCAAGCCCGTTCGCGCGCGCGCGCGCGCGTCTGCGAGCGTGCAGGGGGTGAGGGGGAGACCGGCTGGAGTAGAAGCAACTAAGCAAGAGCAAAGCCGGCAGCGCGATCCGCATGCGGAATCGAATGAGACGTCGCGGATAACTTTTCGCGGCGGAGCGAAAGCTGTCCTCGATGCGGCAGCTCGCGAGACATGGAATTCGCGAACAATGCGGATCTCTTCCCTCTCTTCCTTCGCCCATTACAACAACGGCCGAATCGCATTAGGCGCGCGGCAGAACAAAAAAAAAAGGCTCTCCGGAGGGAGAAAGCTTACGGCGACGAAAGAGAGAGAGAGAGAGAGAGAGAGAGAGAGAGAGAGAGAGAGAGAGAGAGAGAGAGAGAGAGAGAGAGAGAGAGAGAGAGAGAGAGAGAGCGAACAAGGAACACTGGGTGCTGAGCTCGGCCGTGCTGCTGTGCACGCATGCGGCATGCAGTTTTCTTGTTCTTTTGTTCCTCTAACGGATTCCCTTTTTTTCCTCTCCTCGTTAGGCTCGTCGTCGAGGCGGACGGCCAAAAGCTTAGAAGGTATAGCGCGAAACGAGGTTTTCGCGCGTTTTCCCGCCATGGCTCGTTTTTTTTCTTCTTTCTTTCTTTTTGTCCTCTCTACAAAACGTTGTTTACATACACATGGTGCTCGTGAGGTTTCTCGCTCTTTTCGACGGCTTTACGCATGCTGCCTTGTCCTTTTACCAAGGAGGTAGCACGAAGAAAAGGTTATGAAATGAACGCGCGGCAAAACAAGTTTGGAGAACCGGAGAAACCGGACTAGTCTCATGCGTTTGCTCTCCCGAAGTTACAGCATTTGATGGGCGCTTTCATACAAAACAAAAATACGCGGTTTTGGTCAATAATACGAATTCGATGAATACACCGAGTTGTTTGGAAACTTTGTGCGACTGACCGATAAAACGTTTACCCTGTAGATCGAGAACTATTTGATTGGAAGATACCGAATGACTTTCTAATTGTAGGAAGGAATTAATCGGAAAAATAAAAGCTTTTCTTTTCATTCAAGGATCTTTTTCGAGCGTCACTTTATTTAGCAATAATTAATTTGCCAACGTTTCGGGTGTATTATTGACACCCCTTATCAAGTGACGCTCGAAAAAGATCCTTGAATGAAAAGAAAAGCTTTTGTTTTTCCGATTAATTCCTTCCTACAATTTGAATCATAGCACGAGCTGCTCGGTTGAGCATTTAAACATCGAATGACTTTCTCTATTTTTAGTGGAAAGCAAACATGAACCACCGTTGTGTATTTAATTACTCAAGTAGTCTCATAGACGGTCAGTACAATGTACGCAATTTCACGAACGCGAGAGCGAGGCATGTATAAAGCTCGAGTGATCTCTCGAGAAAAGCACCGGTTACGTTTCACGTGAAATGATTAATCAGATGCATGCATCCCACGTAACTGGGTACACACGTCGGCTAATCGAAGAGAGAAACCTCCGCCGACACTTCAGGTTTTGTGTCTGTCGCTGAAAATGGCACGTAGTGCGATATGCGTTTACCTTTGGGTTGAGGTCGCTGCCCTGTTGCATGAGAGTGCCGACCGTGAACCAGAAGCTGTTGGCCAGTGTGAAGTCGTTGACCATCTGCGGTAGCGGCAAGTCCTCGGAATCCGGATCCAATGAGCCGACAAATCCACCCTACATATGCACACACACACTCTCCATGCGTTATGTAAGCGCGCGACGGCAGAAAAGCAAAGCGAACGAGTGAATACCTGGAGGGGGCACTTGCAGCTTGGACACGGGGCCGGCTCGGCCCACTCGTACGGCGAGAATCGTGCCACCAGCCAAATCGTCAGCGAGACTATCACGTAGGCACCCAACATCGACAACCAGATTTCCACGGCCAATGGATTCATGAACGAGAACAGACGCGATGGCATGCTATTCGACACCTGCACGTTTTTTTCCTCTCGTCGATTATCCTTCATCGTCACAGTTATCGATCTTTCAAAGCTTGTCGACGCGAGCTTTTGCCATATGCGATTGGGGCTTGCGGTCGAAGCTCCGAAGAGTGCGTTTCGACGAGAAGACAAGTCATTTTGCTAATCTGCGATTTCGAAAGTGTTTGCATTGCTTTCGCTGAAAATTATCGCGCGAACAAACCATTCGAGATTTCAGATATCTGCAAAGCGATTATCTTTATGTAAACATCGTTGGAGCCGCACCGGCTAGAGTTTCGTCGAAAATTGGCCTTATGGAGGGTGCGTAATAACAGCATGTAAGTTTGAATTTATATTTCGAGGATATTACAACGGAGGGTTGCACTAAAAAGTAACTGCTCCCCCAGCCCTTCCCCGGCCCTCCGCCCCTATCTCGGTCAGCTCTCGTGTCGTAAACGCTCGCACGCGGCAATCGCCATTCTCGTCTCTGCATTTTTCAGACTCGAGCGAAAAGCAAGCGCGAAAACTCTGCATTCGCTTTTCTCATATTATTGTCCTGGAGCGATCATCGACTTCCTTAATTTCGAGTTAATTTTTGTTTTCGATTTTTTTTTGTTTTTGTTTTTTGAGGGGTGAGATACCTTGGGGTTCAATCCGCTGCCTTGTCTGAGAAAAGTACCAGTGATGAACCAGAAGCTGTTGCTGATGGTAAATTGATTTTCCACGACATTAGTCTCGCCGAGGCACGGGTGTGGGTTGTTCCACTCGTAGGGCGAAAATCTGGCCATGACGAAGAGAGTAAAGCTGACGAGCATATAGGCGGCAAGTACGTACAGCCAAATCTCCACGGCCAGGGGATTCATGAAGGAGAACAGACGAGTTGGTTGACTCGACGGCACCTAAATTACGAGGCACGCTACGATTTTAATTAAAACGATCCCCCCCTCCCCCCCGCCATCCTTTTCATAGTTCATGCAGCCTCGCTCCTTCTTCCTCTCGTCTTTTTTTGCGTCTATCATGCAGAGATTTTTCGCAAATAACCCCTCCCCCCTCCCTCCACCTGTCCGCCTTGTCTTTTCGGCGCGCGCATGCAGAGGATATTCGTGCGACGACAAGGGAAAATCGTGTGTCCGAGCGCCGAGAGCACATTGTATACCCACCTTAAAGAGGATGCCAATGCCGAGATTCATGAAGGGCTTGGTGAAGTCTATCACGCTCTCGCGGGCATAATTGATCGTCATAGATGCCACTGCCAAGTCTGCCCTCTGTAAGTAAAAAACAATGTGGGTCAGAGCACAACATCTTCGGAGAGAAAGACTCTCGAGCGAGGCGGTAGACCGAGAGGCTCTCAAGGATGATTCGCTGCAGCCTTCCTGCACTCGAGAGAGATGCTAGTCGACTGCTCGATTATCGGCGTATCGAGCGCAATAAACGGACTACCATCTTTTATATAGCTCTTAGACTTATATTTCTTCTTAGCTTTTATTCTCCCTGTTTCAGACAGCTCGTTCGAACTTATTCTTTTTTTTTTAATAATTCGATGGTTTAGTCTTCGCTGACGCCGGATACTCAATCGAACGAGGAGCCGTCTCCCTCCTTGCCAATCTTTTTTGTTCAAGTGGGTAATTAGAAAAGTTTCGCAACGATTCATGAATAAAATGAGAAATGTTTTCCCGCTGGAATCAAACTCAATAATGTTTTTCTAGGATTCGATTCCGCGTGAGAAATTTATTCATTGAGACATTCGATGGTTATTCGATGGTAATCAAACATATTCTTCGTGCTCGAGAAAATATAACGATTGATTTGGAACTAAACCATTATCATAAATACACGCACGTGACTTCATTCTACAGACGTTTGTTTGCCTAGCAAAGTGTACATTTTCAACGAGAGGGTCGCGTAACCGTTCTGCTCTCACGGTTGCTGTTTGTTTTTAATCCTTACAACGACATCACGCTCGATTTATTCCAGCGGCGCGAAAATTCAAATGTTTGCGTGGACAGGGCAGGAAAATAATTTACGAGCAATTCAAGAGACACATCGCGCGCGTTGAATACACACAGACGCAAATATAAAGTATCATATTTTCCGTTGCTTCGTGTGTGTGTGTGTGTATGTGTATCATTATCGATTGCGATAAAATTTTAGCTGACGGTCGACGAATTTTTCGCATCGACTAATTTTCAATTTGCATTTGGCTTCGCGGACAAAAGTTTTGCGCGGCACACTTAACGACTGGTCACAAATTGTATCCGCCCGCGGGTTCCTCGTGATTCTCCATTTTTACTCTCTCTCTCTCTCTCTCTCTCTCTCTCTCTCTCTCTCTCTCTCTCTCTCTCTCTCTTCGCTTTTCGACGATGAGAGAGCAATTATAATACGTTAGGATACGATGAATCCTATTACTGTGGCATTTTAATGTTATTGGACTGGTATACTGTGTCATTTTTCGACTTTAAAGGCAATTCATCATGTGCGCGCTTTTTGCAGCTCGTCGATTATCCGATTTCTGACAACGAAAATATACACGCTCAAAGCTGCTGACTTTTTCCAGTGATTATTGCGAGGGTCTCAATATATTTGAAACGTGCACGAGAGCGCTGGGATTATGATTGTTGATGAATTTTGCATAATCGTGCAATTTCGAATGAAATAACCGAAGGTATTGTTGTTGTTGCTGCTTTGATATCAAATTAGTAACAATTGATATATTTTCAAACGTTCGATTTGCCGTTTGAAACATAATCGGATGAAACAGTCAACTTGCAAATTACCATTATGGGTAAATTGAACGCAGCAATATAAATAACACGAAGCGGAATGAATAGTTGTCGTGAATGAATGGCGCCAACGGTCGTTACGTTATTTCGAGCCAAAATAGAAAAGCCAGCGTGTGTATCAATAATCTTCAGTGTATATTTTGGAATAGCACATCGCTCACGCGCGGATATCCGTCTGCATTCAGGCAAGTTAGCAGGCTTTAGACGGGATCGCGCGAGAACGGAAGTGAAAAAGAATCAATGTGGCAAAAGTTGCGACTAGCGTAAAGCTTACGCGGAGATAAAGCTTTCCATTCAACCTCGCATTCAACTTTCATGAAAGGGTCAAGTTGCACGGTGATCACGCGTACAACTATTTTCAATTTCAAGTGTCTTTTTTGTTTGGAATTATTAAGTTCGGCCGCACAAAAGAAACCGAATCTCTAACTCTGTTTTCCGTAGGACTTAGTGAAAATGTAATTCTAGTGAATGACGGCCGTTGGAAATAATCGTATATGCGATAGATCGTGCCCCCCCCCCCCCCCGCCCCTCGCTCTGTTGAGAGTTCAGGGCTGGATGACGACAAACTTGTTAAGTATTGTGCGGCGACCTATGGGATTTCACTGGGATCCTCCAAAAAGAAGTCGTTGAATGACTTTTATCTTTTAAATTTTTTTATGTAAGGTTTGTGACAAATGTTACACGTTATAAATTTTACGTTTTGTTTTCACGCTTTTTGCTCTTGTAATCATAGCAGACCGAGAACGGCGAAGAATAAAAAGAAATTTCTTTTAAAAGCACTTATTAGCAAAACATACGAGTATATAAAAAGCTATATAAAGAGCACGTTTTAAGTAGAAGCGACAAAAATGTAAGCAAAAGGTTTTATTTGTTTTTGGTTTTGTTGCAAACGTTTCGAGAGTTTTTCTAAAAAAGAATCATTACACGATCACTTAATGCTTCGTTGCAGATAGACGTCGATCGTATAAAAAGTTCTCGGCATACGTTTCATTTTTAATTGTCGCTGCATCAAACGCCACGTATTATCGAGAAAGGAGCAAAAATATCCGTGGAAATATGTAACTAGGATAAGCTGATTGAACCTTTGCTCGGTAATCCACTCTAATGAATTATAATTTTTTGCTTTTGTAAGCTCATAGTTTATTTTTCCGATACGTTAATTTTTTCTGACAAATATTCTTTTTGAAATGATAATCATAATGTCATTCGATGCAAATATTCTATATCTATCAATTTTTTAATGAATACCTTACAATCCGTTTGCACTGCATAAAGTATTAGCCAAATGGTTATTTCATGTTACGTTTGATATTAATATTTATCAAGTTGTTCGCTCACACGCGGCTTAATTGAAAAAAAAGAAAAAAAAACGAAGAAAGGACAGGAAATGCTAGGAGTGAAAAGGCTCTTGAAAAATGGATGGGAGGATTCAATTAAGCGCTGGAAAATACATCAGAAAGATTAGCCTTTTCTTTCTTTTCTTTCGCCCCCGTCGTGCTGCCGAGGCCCTGCTTGAATAATCCAGAGTGCGCTGTTCTTAATAAGACAGAAAGCCGAGTGTCCGTTCTATTTTTTTTTGCATTGCAAAATAGGTTGCGCCGCATCTGTAAATCTATGAATCCAGTAGACGCTTGAATAAGCGGGACGCGTCCCGTTCATTTTGCATTCTATTGCTCTTTACGCGGACGAGGTCGGCTGACTTGATCCCCAATTCGACTTCTCGAACTTGTTAATGCTACGGATTCTTTTACTCTTTCGCGATTGTTTTCCCCTTGAGTGGCTGTAATTAATACCCTACTAACCAATTGATCGGATGTTGATTTCGAGCGAACGTTTTAACAAAGTTTGTTAACAAAGTTTTGCTTGAGATTTGCTAGCAATTTAAGCGATGGCACATTACAAATGAACCCCTCATGGCATCGTGTTTTGATACAGATATATTTATTCGGCTGATATGCGAAATCAGGCATCGGTACATTGATTATTACTTACTTCAATTATTGTCATTTAAAATTTTACTAGCCCGATGCAGAGGAATTCATTATTAGAACTTGAAATATATCGTATGTGTAATTCGCAATTTTAATATTGGCATTCTGAAAAATGCTGGCATTTAAATTATAATACTATAGCAAAAGAAATATTTTCATTGAATTACTTTATGGTAATAATCATTGAACGTTATTACATAAAAAAAACTCGACTTTTGTTCGAACTGAGCGCGTAGGCAACCGTTATTGAATGAAATCTCGACTGGCGTTTGAATGAAAACTCTCTTGCTAGCTCACTTCTCTTGCGGCAATAAAATTGAAACGAAGTAGAGGCATTCGAGAGTAGAGCAGCGGTTAACGCGTAAAAAAGCTCTCAACAGCCCTACAAAATGCACGAAGTTTGCTTTTGAAATATAAAGCTGTAAATCCGCGCCGAGGTAAAGCTCTCTCTCTCTCTCTCTCTCACTCCTTCCCGCCACTCGACGGAGTATTCAGAAGGTAAAAAAAAAGCTTTCGAGCTCGCTCGAATGCTCAAACTTGAGAACTCGCGCACGGGCGGGCGCGGATATGCGAGCGTATCGATGAAGGCGCCTGAGCGACGTGCGCGCACAATACTCACTTTCTCCATGAGCTCGCGAACGATGCCGTTCCATTCCTTGGTCTCGGGATCGTACACGCCGTACATGTGATCGGGTACGAGGCGTATCGCGTACTGGAATCCAACTTGGCCGGCTATCCACTTCAGCAAGTCCACGCAAAAACCCTCGAATCTCGCATTGCCCGTGAGATTCTTGTCTTCCTTCACCATCACGTACGGCTTTTCCTTCAAAAGCACGCGACAAATGTTTTTTTTTCTTCACTTTTTAGCATTTACAGCGTCACGCGTCAGAGCTTAATAATATTAATTGGTTACGCGAAATGTATGCTCTATCAAAGCTCCGGGTAATTAATCGGTCTATGTTCAGCATGCAGATGGAAAAGTGTGTTTACTTAAATGCAAAGTGGTCACACAAGTTTCATATTTTTCTTATGAATCGACGTTCCAACTTGGTTCTTATTTATCCCAGCTCTCAAATAAGCATTTTTTGTACTGCTTTAATCAACATTGTATTGGTTAGAAGTCGGCTCGATTATCAAGCCGTTTTCAATTTTCGAAATCACACTTTAAATTATTATTCTCGATTATGGCACGGTATTTATTAATTAGTCAAAGAGTTTTATCTGGTATTTATACAGGTTGTTCTTGGCTAACGTAAAACTTGCATTATTGATCTCTTTGATAGCGCCGATTAATACGATTGATTTGTCTAGCATAATGCACGCTGAACAAAGTTGTATATAAGCAATTCTCGAAAAATAATAAGTTAGTAAGAAAAATATGCACTAACCTCGCGTGTCATAACGACAAGGGTGATGTTAGTAGCACTACTCTCGTAGAAAGCACCAACATCCGAGATGTTGACACCACTGCCGAGCCTCCACTCGCCAACTTTGATGAGTTCCTCTTTCTTGAGCTTAAGCAGATCCAGTTTAAAGTTGGTGCGTTTACCTTCGTTGAACTCTATGTGGCCGGTCAGACCCTGCAGGCTTGCCTGTTGACGGAGGATTACGTTTTCATTTACCTTGTATTTATACCGATGCAAACTTTTAGTATTAAGGATCGATCAACTGCGAATGGATTATCTCTTTTTCGGATCTGAGGATTCATTTGGCTTAAGAAAAATTGAATAAAATAGTGCCGACTTCAGCGGATAAATAGTTTCAAGGAACGTACTTTTATTTAGCCTTTATGCTAGATGGTTCGGGCTTATAGCGGCATAATGTTTTCTTCATTTGCAAGCAAAACGACTGGTGAATCATCGATGTCCAGCATAGCAATACCATCGACTTAACCATTCTAATAACCCGCATTAGCATTTTCATAACAACCGAATCCTTTTAGATGTAACGCTAATCTAATGTATCTTGGCTCACTGCGAAAGGAGACAAGCTTTCACCCGGAGAGGTACGTAACGGTGCATGTTTCTCGTTACCGTGAAAGGGTCATCCCTCCCGCTGGATTACAAGAGGAGCATTTACGTAATAGAGAGATTGCGCAAAGTAGTCAAAAACCTCGCAGCCGAACGCCTTTTTCGGGGCTAAACACGGAACTGCCTCGCGAGCCAGATTCACTCTTGCGCTGAATGTTCCGCGCGAGGTCAATGAACGGACAAATGCGTTTGTCAGTTTTATGGGGTGCGGCGAAACGTTCAATTGGTCGCGTGCTCTGTCGTCGGAGCTTAATTGTCAAGTTTGGCCGCGTTGCATGTGCGACCACCTAGTTTTGCTGCATCGCGCGCTCGTATTTTTGCGCGCTTCCCCTGCTCTTTTTTTTTCTTCCGTTGGCTCGCTTGAGTTGAAGAGCGATAATTTTTGACGCGATAGTTTTTTTGTTTTCGTTGGCCGCCGCTGTTTCCGGTAACGTACATGCATTTGCATGATAGTGCGCCGCACTGCTGTCGACTGGGGCTGCTGTTGCTAGATTTGTTTTTCAATATACAACGCCTTTTGTGGAAGTAGAAATCTATTTCGGATTTTATTTCTTTCTTCCCCCCCCCCCCTCTATCCTCTCTTTTTTTAGAATGAAAACTCTGATTCGCCGCAAAATCGTTACCGAGAAATAGTCAATTAGTAAGCGTTGTTGTTCGAGGTTTTATGTAGTCTTTGTTGTGATTTTCTATGCGGAATTTTTAATTTGTCTTTCCAGCTTTGTATTTGCGTATGGCTTGCACTGTAGAGCACCTTGTATAGCAACAATTTATTATCTGGTTGTTTACAGTTTTCGTGAAAATTCATCAAAGAATAACAATGAAATAGGCAGCAAAACATTTTCACGCAAAGAGTGCTCTATCGCCCAAGTAACATTATCAAGATATTTCAATAGCTACGCGCAATTCGCATATTTATAGTCGGTTTGATTGCCAAGCGAACGATGCTCTATTGACTCTCGAGTTGGAAACGGGCGAATCGACATTTTTAAGGTACCGATGGATAGTCAAGTTAAGTACAAGACGCAATGGTTAACGGCGCGAATTCGCCAAAGGAATAATAGTCCTTTTGTTCTTAGTCGGAGCAGTACGACCGCATATGTACTGCGAGCGGGCGTCGGGCGTATAAGTTGTGTATATCGTCGCTCTCGGCGCCCTAGTACCGAAATCAGATTAAAATTTATTGGCTATACGGGCGCAAGACAAACTGCACCAGTTTCTCCAACAACACTAAATTACCCAGGGAAAATCCCGTTGCTGAATGCCTAATTAATTTGTCCGGAATATAATTACCCCCCCCCCCCCCCCCCCCCCGCTGCATTTCTCTCTCTCTCTTTCTCTGTCGGTTAACGCCGCGCATGAGAGAGAAAATAAGTTGTCGTCGTCGCTCGATATTTTAGGATTAATCGCCATAGCGCCACCTCATTAAAATTTCCTCGCGTTCACGCGCGCAGTCACGGATTATACGGTAAACCGCCGCTGGCTGCGCGTCAACGAGCTGAAACCGCTCAGGCGTCCCGCGCCGATATGCACACGCGCGCCGCAAATTCACTTCTTAGCGCGCGCTGTTTTCTCGAGCTTTTGCACTCGCGCTATTGCGCTGCCGCCGCGCAGTTGGTGCACCGCGTTCGAGTTGTTTTGAATTATTAAGAGTAATTTGCTGTCGGTCAGTTAGTTTATTCTTGTAGGTAATGTGTTTCGAGAGAAAGAGAGAGGGATCGAAGAAGCGTAGGAAGTATATTGTTGAGATGAATTGTTTTACTATACTGTTTGTATTTTGTTTGTTGATTATTTATCTTGTGATTAGTAAATTCAGTTAACTGCTTTGTCTTTTAGTTAGAGAAAAGCAACCTAATTTTGTTATGTTATGGAACAAATAATGTATTTACAACAATAATACAAGTTAAGCAGTAAATTTAAATATTAAAAATCCGCTTTATATCACGTTCACTGTTGAGACATGTAATTTCTACGTTGCAAACGCGCTTTTTAATGATTCATTCGCCTACCATATTTCCGTGCGTAATCGTCACTGAGCTTGATCGATGTAGGCAGTCAAGCAATGCAACCTTTTTAACGTTTCGTTAACAAATTGGTTACTGTTACCAACCACGAACAGTCGAAAAAATGTTTTTGTTGTGATAGCACTGGTACTGAGAATTTTTTTTAATCAGGTCTGAATCTGTTAACGAAACGTCAAAAATGTTGTCATTTCTTCGTTACCTACACCGATCAAGCACGGGGGTAAATAAAATACAAACCGCTTCTTACCTTTTCATTCGGCACTTCAAACTACATTTAGTAGCGTACGAATAGTACGAAAGAATTGAAGTTTCCGTCGTACTTTACGTATATTGCATATTTATTTATTTCTTTCGATTAATTACGCTGCTAATGATTCAACGTTAATTGTAAACTTTCCCAATTGTAATAAAAGTTGGCTCTTCTATTTTAAAGTATCTATTGTAAAATTAATTTAGCACTGAGAGCGCAAATCGAAAATAAAATGTCTTTTTCAATTACGGTCGCTCCGGTAATATCGCACTCAAAGGCAATTTCGCTCCAAGTCATACCTCTATTCAGAAACGCGTCGCACGAAAGTACATGGAAATATAATCAACATTTAACGTAAAATAAAGTGCCGCGCTTTTCACCGATAGAACCGCGGAATTCAAGCCCCATTGAAACTCCCCCGAGGATTTTGTTTATGAAAAAGAAATAATGCCTCCGTCGATCATTTTGAGTACACATATAGAAATGAATAATAATAATAATAAATGCCTGAATGTTAATTACCAAAATCCAATTCTGGAAAGAAAAAACTGAATGCTTTTCGTTGGCATCCCGATGTATCCGTTACTCACCGAATTGATATAGTTGTATAACGATAGGCCGTCGTCCCAGGGTTCCTCTCTATCACACGACAGATTGGCGGGTCTAAGCACGTGACTACGGTCCAATGCTGCCAATCCATGTGCAAATACCTGGACGCTGTCGTACACCAATGCCGGCTCCGCCTATAAACCATGAACCGCCAGTTGTATGACAAAAAAAAATTTTTATTGCAATTTTGTCACTCGGCGTCGCGGATGAAAAAGAGATAGAGCATTGAAGCGCCACGCGTGAGTAAACCTGTATGATTCCCGATCTGTTGAGAATAGTGTGACCGATCGGTTGGAAACGTTCCATGTGTTTGAGCGTGTCCGCCACCGTCGCCTCGTCCAGATCAACTAACCGGAAGGCAGTCATGTTTACGCTATTGTATTTGAAGTCTTCCAGATCGAACGTTTCAATGTCCTGGAATCACAGACAATGGGGTCTTCATTTTTTCTATCTTTTTTCATAATCGCCGGGGTTCACATTTACTTGCTCAGCTTGGAGCTCTATACTTACAAAACTTGTGAACATATAGTGATATCTGTAATCGTTCATTTGCAGTTGCAATATCTGAATGGAAAATATAAGATTAATATTTGGTAAAAATAGAATTATCTTCTGATGTTCTGATTATCTTAATGTACGAGTACGTAGTGTTTTCGATAAATTCGCGACAGGAAACTCATGAGTTTCGCATATCGTCAAATGTACGCAATCGTGTTATATCATTTGATCTCTGCGTTATAATGTAATTTTGGGAAGCTTATAAAAAATTGAAATTTTGATTTTCACCAGAGCATCAGAATTTAAAAGGCGTTTGCGGACAAAAGCTTACCGCTCTAAAGAATTGTTGCATGTACGTGGGATTCGTATCAATGATGAGTTTGTAAATTTCTTTGTGTCGAACTTCCTTAAGTATTTGTCTATACGAGCCAGGACCAGCCTGGCGAATATACATCTCCGTTTTCGGCGAAGGCGGCGATTTCACTAAATCTTGCAGCTTGAATAGCCCTGAAAAGCAGAAGCTTCGTGAATGATAACATCTATGAAAGAATAAAATCCCCTGCTCGAGATCAGTAAGAAAGAGATTTTTTCATGAGACCGGCTCTTTTGTAATTCGGAGCCGTTTCTTATAATCGACCTGCAGAAGGGCTTACTGACCAATACTTCCCTTGAGCTTCATCAAAATTCCTCCCAATGGCCTTCTGATGAATAAATAAGAAAGAAAAATCTCTTTCTCTGTCTCTCTTTCTTTCTCTCGTGCAACTTAGTTTGAAGAGTTCATCTTCGGGAAGTTCGAGAGTCAAAACTTGCAGAAAAAAGTGATTCGCGGCGACGCGTCTCGATTCTTTGTAAAACAAAAAACAATTTCATCCGCGGCCGGCGAACTTCGATGTAATCTTGACCTCGTTAGCAGCGAAAATGAAGCCTTTATTACATCGAAAACTACTCTGTGCTTTCTAAATTCGCCGCGAGAAGACATTTTCCCCTCACCGACCCCGCGGTAATTAAAGCGACTCGTGCCGCGTGAGTCGAAAAAGTTTAGATAGCCCAGAGAGCAAACTCTCTATGGGATGAACGAAATTCGTTAAGCTTAGCGCGTTCAAGTTTTTGCCGCTTAGTTAACAAAAAAAATAAAGTTTCCGTACGGTAGCGCGGGAGGTAGAACGAATTCCGAGGAGAAGAAGAGAAACCAACTTGAGGCTTCCGTTTACGTCCAATCTTTGCGAGACACTGATACCCCGTCCCTATTTTCGACGGGAACTCTCTGACTCTGAATTCATCAGAGCGCGGTGGCACGCCGCGGAGAAAGCAGGACATACTGCCGGCTGATTCTCTCTCTCTCTCTCTCTCTCTCTCTCTCTCTCTCTTTTCTCTCTGCAAGCGCGCTTTGCTAATCTAATCGGCTCTTCCGCCGACGAGGACTTTGCGCGGAGCACGCACTCGTTGCAAGCTTCTCTCGCCCATTGTCGACGTTATATACTTGCGACGCGCTGTCCTGCAAACGATCTCTGTGGCTTGTTTTCCTGGCTGAGGTTTAATCATTTTTCAGGAGCTACCGCTACGACTCCGCGTATACCCGCCTTGGTGTTTCTGTCCTTCTTTGTTTCCTTTTGGCGCGCTCTATTCAACTTCTCTCTTGTTCACTGACATAATTACGGTTTAATTAATCGGTTGAAATTTCAAACGAGAAAGGTGAACAGATGCGTACGGTGTAGGAGCTTCTTGAATGGAATTTTTCATTGCTTGCGATCATATTTTTACAGCTAAGCGAATATATTATTTATTAATTTTTTTATCCCCGAGACAAAGGAAGATCGATTGTACGGAATTTGAAAACTGAAAATTCCATCGATAGCCGGAAGCGTTTCCCGAGTCGTCTCCACATCTTTTCCGAAACGAGTTCTCCTCGCTTTGAATCCTTTCGAAATGCGATAGGCGCGAAACACTTCGCGAGCAGAACCATCGATACTGTCGAATTAAATCGGTGAACAATGGACGAGGCGTTATAAAGTTAAAGCGAACAGAAGCATCGATACAGTCGGATTAAATCGGTGAACAATGGGCAAAGCGTTAGAAAGTTAAAGCGTTCTCTCTCGGAAAAAAGAGTGATAGAGGGAGAATCCGGTAGTATGATTGAAGAACGAGGAAAAGATAACGAGATCCGGAGTTACTGCACAAACGACGCTATATATAGGGGGAGGGGAATTGAATGAAAAAAAGAGAAAGACAGAAACGTGGTAGCGAGGTGCGAACGGATAACGAGAAAGAACGAGAGTCAAACTTCACGCAGCTGGGGTTGACAGTTTGACGTTCCCATTTCGCGACGATCATCTCCCACCTTCTTTTCCTTTCTCTTTTTTTTCTCGTCTGTGTCTGTTTGACTTTTCATTCGTCCTTCTCGCTTACCGTAGTCCTCCTCGTAGATGATAGCGACCTTGGTCCAGTTGAGGAAAGACATGAGGTCGCGAAAGGCTCGATTCAGGTGATCTTGCGCTGGATAAAGATTGATACTGAACTCTTTGAAGCTGGGCTCGAAGTCGACACGTGCTTCCAAGTGCGGCACGTCCAAGGCCTCGCAGATACTCTGCACGTGGGCACCTAGCAGAGGATCCGCTGGCCCGAAGATTCCTTGCACCGAGCGTGACATTTGCTTGCAGGCTGTCGACAGTTTATTTTCGCATTAATTACAACGACGAAACACCGTCTCGTTATGCTTATTCGATTGGAGTAGAAAACTGAAACTAGTTGCGCGGATTACATAAAGCACTTTTATGCGGCAACGTAAATTACAAGCCTCATGGTTTTAGAAACATTTTCCGGGCTTTTACGTTGCTTCGCTCTTTGTGCATAATACCCCAATGTCGGGAGGTCTTTTCATCTAACGAGCAAGAAATATTTTTATTTTTTCAGTTTCGCATTACGAGCCTCTAAGTTATACAAATGTACTCCGTTCTTTGATTCGACAACGACATTCACGTCGCGTCCTGAGCTTCCAGAGGAAAAGTTAAACAACGCAATTACTTTTTCAAATTCACTCTCGAACTCTATTCAACAGTGTAGATTTTCGCCTCGCTTTTCCGACAGTTCCGATTCTCAATTTGCTATCCCATCAATTATCAAACAAATCAACAAATACTCCAAACAGCCGTTTTCCAAAATTGAAAAACGAAATGGCTTTTTTAATTGGCAAACGAGCCATATACCCACCAGTATAATGAAAGAAAGTATATAACGTAAAGCTCGAGCGCACATCTGGTAGGCGAACCAACGAAGTGAACTCTCTTTAATTTAGGCTTATCCACGTTGTCTGTCAAAAGAGAGTATCTAGGGCAAAAATGCCGTAAATAATTTGGCTTTTATTCCAGTCGCGCTCGGCGGCTGTCCTAAATAGCTTCGCTGCTCGCTAGACTGTCTCGTGGCGGAGAGCCTGAAAAATCGAGCAAAACGACTGGGAACAAATGCGACAGCGGTAACTCGATTATGTTCGCGTCTCGTGCTACGGAAATTGATACATTCTCGCACACAGAAAAGGGAAGAAGAAGAAGAAGAAGAAGAAGAAGAGGAAGAAGAAGAAGAAGAAGGAGAAGGAGAAGACGAGAAGTCTGTATGGAGCTCTTATCAGCGGTGGCGGACGAGGACTGATCGCTCGAATGCTACTCTTCTATTCGCGTATCGTCGACAATTTCCCGTTGACCTCGGACTGTACATATATAGCGGTTGTAGATGGTCGCCGCCCTGCCGCCGACTTAGATGAAAACGAATAACCGAGGGAGTCTTATGCCAGTTGGACGAGCATCATGCAGATTTGTGTGACGGATCTTTTCAACTCGAGACGCATTGCTAAAGTTTAACTATTTCGGCCGAGTCGGCTAGCCGTACACCGCCTTTCGGCTTCTCTCCGCGCTGGAATTTTGATTACACTTAATGATTCACTGCCGTCGCCACTGCTGCGTGCAAGTCTGTCCTATCTCTCTCTCTCTCTCTCTCTCTCTCTCTCTCTCTCTCTCTCCTCCCTCTATCTCTCTCTTTTCTCGATGAGGAATGTCGAGCTTGATTTTTCCATCGAGCCTGAATATTCACATCACGGAATCGTATGTATTTCTTAGCTATGCAAGTTCGAGACTTCTCCCTCGAATACTTGGATCTTTACGTCTGGCAGCTGCTGGCTCGTCAACAAAAAAATATGTGACTGACGAAACCGGAACAACAAATTGGAAGCTTGCTCAACGATGGTTCAATGCAAACTTTGATAACTATTCCTGGTTTGTTTTTTTTTCTACGCTTGAGCGAAACACACAGGACGTGAGCGCACGATTTCGACGTGGATGCATTTGAATTTTTTCGATCTCACGTACGCGCGTGCGCTTCCCTATCCTTCATATTACAGACTTTGCTGTTTTATGAACATTGCGGTTTCTAAAGGTGACACGATCAAATCGAAAAGCCATGCATACGAATACGCCGAAATTCAAAGGCCTTTGGCAGAAAAAAAACGCTATTGTCCACGACGAATCCCGGCAGTGACCCAGCGAAAACAGAAGAAAAATGTAATTCAGCCCCGTCACGTAAATATACACGATGGACCTTATTATTAACGAAATTGTGGATTTCTTCGTACATCGCATCTCTCGATCAAAGTGTACGCAAAAAAAACCGAAAAAAGCTACTAGAGTATTCTCGTCACGTGGCATTGGCCCTTCGGCGGAGTCGCGGCGCGGGCGAATTCAATTTTGTCCAGCGAGAGCGTGCGCGATCGATGCTCGCTTCTTTCGGAGAACGCGTCTCAACTCATATTGACTTCTGCTACTCGAGCGCGCGCCGACCTTTGTTATTTCATACCTCATATCGGCGCACACTCGATTATTGCCTTCAGAAAAAAAAAATATGTACAAGGAGGGGAGCTCGCATTGTCAGGGTTACGGCCGAGTGTACGTTATACGATTATAAAACCGTTGCCGACGAGAATTGCATTTTCAATGTTGTTGTTGGGGTTAACCGAAGTTCCCTTCCGTGGTCATGAGGTGGTGGATAGTGTATTGAGAAGTAGTAGTTTTGGAGAGGTGGCGACTTGTGAAGCCACGAAATTTTGTCTTAACTCGATGCGAATTTTCTGACGTTCACTCGAACTTTTAGTTCTTCAGATATCGATGTCTGTTAAAATCTAGACACATAGGCATGAAAAATTCAAAGAACTTCAAAAATATTTAAAAAGGAATGTTTACCCATCAGATCTCATTTTGTCAGAATTGAGAACAATTATGTATCTTCTGAATTAAAAGCTTTGATAAATTTTGATCATGTTGATAGAGCTTCTCAGTGCCTGACATAACTGAAAAATTAATACTCTTTTCGTGTATTGACGAAATTTCATAATTGTAGGGGAATTAAAAAACTGATATCTCAATAAAATCTAGAAACATTACTTTTCGTCGAAGCACTTTCAAATAATACCACATTCGCACAAACGCAAAAAAATTAGGAAAAAAAATATGTTTCATCGATCGATGTACGAGTCTAATGCATAATGCAGCACGCTGCAAAAAATAGAGATGCAAATCAAGAACCAGTCGCATTAAGAATTCATGCGAGATGCTTTTACAACTCTCGCACATTTTTTTTTTTTTATGAAAGCTGAATCTCGTGTTACCAAAGAAATGGGCGTGTAATACATATCCTCGATGAAATTTTTTTTTATCTTTGTGCGGCTTAATTAGCTCAATTGAAAAAGCGATTTTAGCTTAGGGACGAACTCTTAATAATCACTAGCTCGGATAAATACGTTTAATAAGCAATGAAAGCTTCTATTGTGCACGCTCACGATATTGAAATTCCATGCAAATACGAGGATGTTCGGTCCTTTGACTCGTGAACAATAATTATGCAGGCGATGATCGATTGGGCTTCGGATGAGGTAGACATATATAGGACAGCAACAAACTGAAATATTAACCGTAAGCAGTTTGCTATAAAAAGACGCTGTCGAGGAGACTTAGCCGAAGAACGAAATTGATCGAAAAATTTTTAACCTGATTCTCCGTATTTTTTTCTTCGCGTAGCGTGTCGAGTGGCCGGCAGCGAGCAAGCTCGTGTGTATCAGATCGAAGCCCGCAAGAGAGCGGCTTCATGCTTTATCGAGAGCGCCGCGCACGCTCACGAACTCTTTTTATGCGCTATATAGCTTTCGAGTGCTAAACGATTCTCGCGAGAGCGAGACAATGGGTCACGTACGTGAGACGCGACAACCACTCGCTTCGTTAGAGACCAATTTTTTCTCTCTCTCCCTCTCTTTCTCCTAGAGACCACCACCACCACAGGTAGGATGTGTGTCAATTGGTAGAGAGGAAGAGTAGTGGATGAGTTTCCATTGATTGAACGCGCACTGCAAGAGACTCATTAGTAGGGATCAGGCATCTTCTCCCGGTAACTTGAACATTGGTTATCGCGACGCAGACGCGCGAGAGACTTCTATGTACCAACTTCGCGATTGCTCGCAACTTTTTTTTTTTATTTACGAGGGAAGACTGATAAAAATAATCTCGTTCGATGCGCGCGAGCTGAAAATCAATTTTTTCCAACGAGTGAGGTTTCTGTCAGTGCTTTTTATACCTTTTGAACCTTGAATAACGTGGATTTTTTTTTCAACAGACGTGCATTTGATTTGACATCAACAATTATTTCAATAGCTAACCACATTTTATTATTTAGTTCAGTAACATTTTGAAGGGATTTAACCAAATGTCAGTCAACAAAACAAATTTTATTTTGCAATATGAAATCCGTTTCGAAGACAATTTGCTGACTTGGTGGGAAAACTGCGAGGCTCATTGAATAGATTCTAGGTCAATGCACTTGCACTCTCTCGCTCGAACTGACCTTTTTTCGACGTCCGAAATGAGTCGTCTTTAGGCACGTACTGGATATCGTAGACCATCGTGGTGTTGGGTAAGAGGACCTTTTCCTTGTTGATCTTGTAGACGGCATACTTGAACGCCAACTCCGACGGACTGTCCTTTTGGTCTTCGGTAAAAATCGCACCTGCAACAGTAAATCACATCGTTAGCAATATCTTGACAAACTACTGTCAGACAACACAATAAAGTTTTGATGATTATTTTTTCATATAATCGAGTTACCGACGTTTATTGAAAAATAATTTTAATGTTATGCTTTGATTCGTAATACAAAGTTAGTAGACAAAGATTAAGATGAAATTATTCATTGTTTAAATGAAACTATAACTATACACAGAGATCTGTAATCGCAGCGCAACGTTGATTTCAACCTTTGAGGTAACTGAATGATGTCGACAAAGGGAGCAGTATACGCGCGTTACTGGCAAATCAAGTATTTATTCGAATAACTCTATTAAAATACGAACTTTTGCTTTAACATTTAATGCCATTAAAATATTCCATTACTACATCACAAAGTTGAAACAAAATACGTCTTGTACAATCAATACCTTACAAATCAATATCGTACGTTTCACGGAAATAATTCTCTTGATGTAAAATAAAAATATAGCGTGGCTGTACCGAAGTTTGGCGAGCGGAGAAAAAGCACTCGTAAGTATAATAAAATTTCGAGAGTAAAAATTGTATAAAAAAAAGAGTAAAGTCGTATCCAGGTCGCACAGCAGCACGAGAATATCCAAGTTGCGCGAGCGAAGGCTAATTCCGTTCAGGACACCACTGTGCTACGTCACTTGGGATATCGAGCGGCGCGGGATGCGGAGTGAAATTAATCAATCGCAGTAATTGACGAGTCGGAGTGGCAGAGCCTCTTTCTCCGGATGAGGTAGAGGCGCGTCGGCGTAATAGCGAAAAATAGCCGATCTGAAATCAGTCGGTCAGAGCGTGAGAAGAGTAAAGCCGATAATCGAGTCGATAGCGAGGCTAGTGCCAGGGACATTATCGCGCGGCCTGCTCTGGTCAGTGGAGCAGTGCGATAAAATTAACCAACTGGAATTTCATAACGAAGTTTAATATTTGCAGAGCTCGATATATTGACTGAACGTTTACGTATATGTATATACATCCCTTTCGGCGAAGCGAATTAACGACTCATCTCACTCCAACCTGAAGTCTTAATTTGATTCGAGTAATTGCTTTGGGCAATGAATTACGAGCATTTCTTTCTGATATACCCTACTGTTGTGTACTTTGATTTATCAGCGAACGCTGCGATTTCTTCGAGGTGATGGTAAATATGAGATTTAAAAGCTGAACAGAGAATTTATTGAATTCTCGATTATTAAGATGCGACATTACCCGCGGGATTTATCAGATGTTTGACATTCTATATGAGGGAAAATTTCTATACAAGGGTGTATCCATTGAGATGCTTATCATCGAAATGTTCTTTGATCAAATTATGTACGTGCCAGTCAAGTAATTTTAAGAAATTCAATATCGTCGTGGAACACTCTACGATATTTCAATTCCTCGTGCGATTACTCCCTTCTATAGTGGATGTTTATCAGCATGTGCTTTGTATAGATTACTGTCAAACAATCCATTTGTACAGCTAATAAAATTTCAGTAGAGAAATCTGGTGTTGCGGAAGAATATCGACTTAATTTGAATTTCACCTATCACGATAGCTATTTATCAGCCCTTACTATGTAACATTATTGCTAAATAATTACTTAATATATTTTTAAATTAATAATTTTCCAGCACTCTTTTAGCATTTCGTCGGAATATTTCATTTAATTTGAATTCCTTTCATGATACAATTAACATTTTCTTCGTAATATTATAGTCGAATAGCTATCTAACAAAGCTAATTAGAATCCAATAAAAAAACGAAACGTTAATAAATAGCCACTGGTTGAAATTGCATTTCACGAGTCTATCGAAACTCGCTTTGCAACACGTTACTGGCAGTTCCACTGCCTAACATATTTCACTTATAAATTGAAGGACTCGTCATATCATTGAGCAGTTGATAGTTGAGTTTTAGATAGGATAAATGACAATGATTTCATCACAAAGCGAGAGCAAAGATCGCTCTACCGGATGACCCGGCAGAGTAGTAATTATTTGACGCTCTACTGGCGGCAGTGACGGCATATAAACGCCGGGAAAGCTCCTCACGTAGGCACTTAATTGGGCGCGCCGCTCGGTTGAGGCGAGAATTAAAGCCCCGCTAAGACGGACATGATCCTCGCTCTCGCGGAGGTCGGTCGCTCGTTTTGCCCACTTTGCGCTCGTCACATCGACAATCTCTCTTGCCGAAGGATAAACACGCGCAAACCCTCCATTATGAGCACGGAGCGTAAAATCACCTTCATCCAGGCCCCTTAAACTTCCTTTATTTACTCACTGCTCGCTTACTCTCGTGGCATAACTTGTGTGAGTAGATTACATCAGCTTTATTGTGACAGACTTAACTGACTATTTTGCGGTCGTATTGCAATGGGTTTGTCAATTTTTTTAAGGACGCTTTCAATTAATCGAATCTAATTTTTAGGAAGGACTATTTGAAAATTCCGTTGATTTTTTTTTCATCGAAAGGTCAAGTGTCTTGGAGCGTTAGATGCTTTTATTTTCGGAAAAGCTGCTTTTAAAGCGAGATTTGCACTCTTTAAAGGATAAAACTTGGGAGTGAATGATTCCTGAGATTTGATAGGAAAAGATGAGATTGACGAAGGCGTTTGCTCGTTCAAACGTCTTCAAATTGGATTCGATTCTTGTAATTTCCTATTATAATGAAAAAAAAATTGATTATTTTCCATCTGAATTAGAAATTCAAATTTTATTCCAGTTGCGAAGTGATTTTTCAAAATAATTAACTAATCACAGTTAACACGTTAATGACGACTTATCGAGTTCACATTAATTAGATTAAATTATTCGTTTTGTTCTTCAAACAGTTCAGATGTAAAAGCTGCAAGCAAAAAAAAGAACAAATGATACGTGTTTTGAAAAAAGAAACCAGTAGTACAGGTCAATATGCTCGGAAACATTCCGACCATTACTCATCCGCCAGTGAAGTATATGCAGCGCAGAAACACTCGCATGCAGAACGTCAATGCGACTGTAGTGGATCCCTTTTAGGAAGGAGAGAAAAAGCTCGTCAGAATTGAATTCACACGTACACGTGTACACTCGCGCGCGCGACAGCAGAAAGAAAATCCGCTACGTCAGTCGATTTCTCGTCGCACACTCGGCGCTTAATCGTGCCGCAGCCTTGCGAGAAGCGAATTGCCGCTTACTCCACAATTTATGCTGACGGATCGCCGTCCCAATCGCAGCTCTAATCCGATACTATTATCCCTCTGGGGAGCGCGAAATCTTGACACACGGCATTGCGCCACCACACCAGCAAAACCGTCCCCCGATTTCCTCCGCTTTCCTCCGTTTAATTACCGCTTGATTGTTCCGACCTCGATCTTTCACGAATATTGCGTCTCGATTATGTAGAATTTCGCCTTCGACTGTTCGATTTTTCCCACCTATCTTTTCGCTTCGCCAGTTCGCTCGGCACCAATAGCGAGGCTTGTCTTGCCTTAGCAGTTAATTAAATGCGTAGCCCTCGCGAAGTTCCTCGCTCGACCACGCTCAAAGCGTAGCAAGCCCTGTCAGCTTGTGGTCGATACCCAGCCACTTCGAATTGTAGCGCATTGACAAGCAAGGATGCTACAGGCTCAACTAAAAGTCTCGTGACAATCAAGAATTACACCCGAATGACGACTCGCTTGCAACTATATCAATCAAGCAATATTTTATCGGAGTTTACGGAATTTCCATCTCGATTCAATTAAGAAAATACCCCAAATGGTCTTCGACCGATGCACTTGCAGTAATTCGAAATAGCTTTCATAATTTTCGTCGAAAATATAATTGCGCCGACAATATCAATTTTCTGAAATGGCCGCGCGCTGCATAAATATGCTCCATTTGGTAACAATAACGCCCGCCATTCAAATGGTCGAGACTAAAACGTTTTCAAAAACGGCAACAAAAGCCATTCACAGAAGTTCAAACGCGCAACTTAAGCGTGATATAATGAGAATTCGCGCTGCAGAGAGGAATTGAACCTAAGTGTGTGAGAGTCGACCGGCGAAAGTTTTTGCGGCCTTTGACGTACTGTAGATGGAAGAGAGCTGCGTATTCTCATTAATAGCTCATCGCTGCGCGACTTGCCACGCGAAACTTATCCTCTTTGATCAGTTCGCGCACGAAAACGTCTTCACTTGTTTGCATTGGCTTTGACGATGCCCTATGCTTCAAATACTCACCTCGCAAAATACACATACGTTAGGAAGCTGGTACACTACTTTTGGGCCTTTTGCGGCATTACATAATGTCAGTCTAGTTACTAAGTCGTTACATAGAATTAATAAAGAGGCGCAAGCTTTTGAAGAAAAACGTAATCTCATAGTAGCCATTCAAATTCCTATCAAAGTACCACTTTTGACGTTATCGACGGAGTAAATTGGTATTTTATGAGGAGAAAAAAGCCGAGTCGATCGATCATTGTGATAAATCAATTTCCAATGAGATGAAATAATAAAGTTGAGAGGTTACTTTGGAGAGTACGCACGTCATTGTAAAGCGATTACGTTCTCGGGCAAAGCAAAACTCCAAAGGTGCTTGAGTTGTAAATTTCTGTAAATATACTTCATCGCGATCAATTTTCAATTCTCCACGCATTTGCAGACAGAAAGAAAGCTGAAATCTCCCGCCGCGTCAAAAAGAGGGCCACCGAACTACAGCAGAGTGAATCCTCGGATGGCGCAAATCGGAACGTAGGGAATTATCGCGGTGGGCGCGCACGTACCGTTCGACCGATAATGCGCTTCCGGCTTCATAAATGCTCGGCCCCATCGTAATATTCCTTCGCGAGTTTAATGCCTCGCATTAGCAATTAGCACCTCACTCCCGCGCATCTCAAACTACTATTCGTCAGCTTATCGAATAAAAAGAAAACACGGATCGCGGGATTTACTAGCGGGCGTCAAACAAAAAATTGTACGAGTGTGCGTGAGAGAGAGAGAGAGAGAGGGAGAGGAAACAGAGCTCGTTTTT